GCTGTTGCGCAATCGCGTCCACCATTAACGAAGCTATTTGGAAATTTCGGAAAGTTCCGATTTTTTTCCAGAAAAAATCGGAATTCTTTTCCGAATCGAACCACCAGCAACCCCTACATCTGAAATGAGTTTTGAACCATTTTTTGATCAACCAAGTCTACTGACCATATGTTGCTCAACAATGCAATTAAACTGCATTATGAGTCTATACTGACCATATAATGTAGTTAAGTTGTGCTATATGAGCTTACACTGCCATATAATGCAGTGCAATGCAGTTAAGATGCTTTATATGAGTCTACACTGACCATATAATGCAATTAAGCTGCCTTATGAGTCTACACTGTCGTGTAATATAGTGCAATACAATTAAGTTGTATTATGAGTCTACACTGGCCATATAATGCAGTGCAATGCAGTTAAGATGCATTTTGACTCTATACTGACTATATAATGTATTGAACTGTAGTTCAATGTAGTTAAGATGCATGTTGAATCTATACTGACTATATAATACAGTGCAATTCAACTAAGCTGCATTATACAGGTCTACACTGGCCATATAATCCAGTGCAATGCAGTTAAGATGCATTTTGACTCTATACTGACTATATAATGCATTGAACTGTAGTTCAATGTAGTTAAGGTGCATTTTGAGTCTATACTGACTATATAATGCAGTGCAATGCAACAAAGCTGCATTATATAGGTCTACACTGGCCATATAAAGCAGTTCAATGAAGTTAAGATGCATTTTGACTCTATATTGACTATATAATGCATTGAACTGTAGTTCAATGTAGTTAAGATGCATTTTGAGTCTATACTGACTATATAATGCAATGCAATGCAACTAAGCTACATTATATAGGTCTACACTGGCCATATAATGCAGTGCAATGCAGTTAAGATGCATTTTGACTCTATACTGACTATATAATGCATTGAACTGTAGTTCAATATAGTTAAGATACATTTTGAGTCTATACTGACTATATAATGCAGTGCAATGCAACTAAGCTGCATTATATAGGTCTACACTGGCCATGTAATGCAGTCCAATGCAGTTAAGATGCATTTTGAGTCTATTCTGACTATATAATGCAATGCAATGCAACTAAGCTGCATTATATATGTCTGCACTCGCCATATAATGCAGTGCAATGCAGTTAAGATGCATTTTAGTCTATACTGACTATATAATGCAGTGCAATGCAACTAAGCTGCATTATATAGGTCTACACTGGCCATATAATGCAGTGCAATGCAGTTAAGATGCATTTTGACTCTATACTGACTATATAATGCATTGAACTGTAGTTCAATGTAGTTAAGATGCATTTTAAGTCTATACTCACTATATAATGCAGTGCAATTCAACTAAGCTGCATTATATAGGTCTACACTGGCGACATAATGCAGTTAAGCTGCATTATAAGAGTCTACACTGACGTATAATGCAGTGCAATGCAATTAAGCTGCATTATATGAGTCTATACTGACCATATAGTCCAGTTCAATGCAACTAAACTGTGTTATATGGCAGTGTAGATAGGGCCTGGGATCCTTTCATTCCACCCATTGCTTCAGAGAGAAATCCCGCAGGTGTCTTTGGCCCAGGAGAGGAAACAGACGCTGCTTCTTCTTCTCCTTCTCAAGAAGCTTTACTTGCTAATCCTCCTGGGATCTTCTGAGCAGCTTGGCCCAGTTACAAACCGTGGAAGGAGAGAGAAATAGAAGCCCAAGGGAGGTGAAGGGCAGAGACTATTACTATTATCCCCGCACAAGGAGAGGAAAAATGGGCTTTACGAGTCCTGGAATTTATTTCGGAGAGCGAGGTGAAAGTAGGGCTTTTCAAATATGATCCTAATTGAGGTCAACTAAGTCCTCACCTAGATAGGGTTCCGTCCTGAGCCCGGTCCTGTCCAACATCTTTATTAATGACTTAGACGAAGGGTTAGAAGGCAGGATCATCAAGTTTGCAGATGACACCTCTATAGTGTCTAGATTCAAGGAAGTCATGCTCCCCGTGCTCTATTCTGCCTTGGTTAGACCACACCTGCAATATCGTGTCCAATTCTGCGCACCACAATTGAAGGGAGATGTTGACAAGCTGGAATGTGTCCAGAGGAGGGCGACTCAAATGATCAAGGGTCTGGAGAACAAGCCCTATGAGGAGCGGCTTAAAGAGCTGGGCATGTTTAGCCTGAAGAAGAGAAGGCTGAGAGGAGACATGATAGCCATGTATAAATATGTGAGAGGAAGCCACAGGGAGGAGGGAGCAAGCTTGTTTTCTGCTGCCCTGGAGACTAGGACGCGGAGCAATGGCTTCAAACTACAAGAAAGGAGATTCCATTTGAACATTAGGAAGAACTTCCTGAGTGTGAGAGCTGTTCAGCAGTGGAACTCTCTGCCCCAGAGTGTGGTGGAGGCTCCTTCTTTGGAGGCTTTGAAACAGAGGCTGGATGGCCATCTGTCAGGGGTGATTTGAATGCAATATTCCTGCTTCTTGGCAGGGGGTTGGACTTTGATGGCCCATGAGGTCTCTTCCAACTCTTTGATTCTATGATTGTATGGATGGGGGTTCTGTGTGGGAAATTTGGCCCAATTCTACCATTTAGTGGGTTTCAGAATGGTCTTTGATTGCAGATGAATTATAAATCCCAGCAACTACAACTCCCAAATGTCAAGGTCTATTTCCCCCAAACTCCACCAGTGTTCATATTGTGTAAAGTTTGGTCCAGATCAATCATTGTTTGAGTCTACAGTGATCTCTGGATGTAGGTGAACTACAACGCCAAAACCAGACCATGCCCACCAAACCCTACCAGTATTTTCTGTTCGTCATGGGAGTTCTGTGTGTCAAGTTTGGTTCAATTCCATCATTGGCAAAGCTCAGAATGCTCTTTGATTGTAGGTGAACTATAAATCCCAGCAACTACAATTCCCAAATAACAAAAACAACCCCCACCCCCACCCCACCAGTATTCAAATTTGGGCGTATCAGGTATTACCTCTAGACTGGACTACTGTAATGCTCTCTACATGGGGCTACCCTTTAAGACGGCCCGGAAACTACAACTTGTCCAACACTCGGCAGCGAGATTAATAACTGGGGCTAGTTATAGGAAGCATTCGACTCCCATGTTTAAGGAGCTCCACTGGCTGCCATTTATTTTCCGGTCCCAATTCAAGGTACAGGTCATCACCTACAAAGCCCTAAATGGTTTGAGACCCGCCTACGTTCGTGACTGTATCTCTCTCCATGTACCAACCCGGGCCCTTCGATCTTCGGGGGAGGTTCTCTTTTCACCTCTACCAATCTCACGAGACTGTCTTGTAGGAACAAGAGAGAGAGCCTTCTCCTCTGTGGCTCCCTGAGTGGAGAGATCGTGGTTTGCTTTTTGAATTTATTTTTGAAGTATTTCCAAGTACTTCAATTTATTTTTGAAGTATTTCCAAGACGTGTCGGAAACCATAGGTCAGTGTTTCTCAATCTTCCTAATGCCGTGACCCCTTAATACAGTTCCCCATGTTGTGATGACCCCCAATGGCTACATCATAACTGTAATTTTGCTACTGTTATGAATTGTAATGTAAATATCTCATTCACTAAACATCCCATTTGGGGGCGTGAGCTCCAGTAGCAAAAATGTTGGGGGGGGGGGTTTTCAAAATCCAGGTTTTAAGGTCCTTTTTAAACATTTCTAGTGAAGGGGTAAAGAGTTCCAAAGAGATCAGGAAAGCCCCTTGTGAAGGTGCGAGTTGTAAAACACTTACTGCCACCTAATCTGTGAGGGAAGCCGGGCAACGATCAATATCAACCTAGGAGCTATTTTATAAAGGAACTGTTAATTACAGAAGGTTTTATTCAGTGGATAGCGTAGCGTTTACTGTTTCTGGCTGACTTCACTATTGCAGGCTGTTCAACTTAGGAGAAACTGTATCAGGCAAGGCTTGAGGAAAACAGTAACAAGTTTATTTTAACAGGAGTATAACATGTTTAACTGTTTCTTCACAAGAGGCACAAATCTTGATGGTTACATTGGTAAGGTTTCATGAGTAATCTCAGGCACAGACTTCAAAAGGTTTCACAGCAGGCACAGCAGGCTCAAACCCAGCCAAACCTTGATTCTTAATTTAGAATCAACAACCCCTTGTAGCTCTATCACTACCGGGTCCTTCTCTGCAACCACTATGGTTACCAATTAATTCTCTGAATCTCCACCCAGAGACTCAGTCCTCTCTGTAGCTCACCGGCTTACTGACACATTCCCTGAATCTCCACCCAGAGACTCAGACCACCCAGTAGCTCACCGGCTTACTGACACATTCCCTGAATCTCCACCCAGAGACTCAGTCCACCCAGTAGCTCACCGGCTTACTGACTGACTTTTTAAAACAGCTGCCTCGCGAAGAGGCAGTTGGCTCCGCCCCTGTTGCTATGGCAACTCAGCTAACGCCAAGCCACCATCTCCAACAAAACATAATCTCCCATACTTACCATCCCTAAACTACTGTCCAAACTACACATAACCAAAGGAATAAAATCTACACATCGTCACACCCCTTCACTAGAAATGTTTAAAAACCTGGATCTTCCGCTGCGCCTTTGGGGAGTAGGTGCACACCACAACATTTTGAACCCCCCAACATTTTTGCTACTGGAACTCGCGCCCCCAAATGGGATGTTTAGTGAATGAGATATTTACATTACAATTCATAACAGTAGCAAAATTACAGTTATGAAGTAGCCATTGGGGGTCATCACAACATGGGGAACTGTATTAAGGGGTCACAGCATTAGGAAGATTGAGAAACACTGATCTATAGTTTCCGACACGTCTTGGAAATACTCCCCACTTTAGATCAGGGTTACCATTTTGCCCTACCATTGTACATATTGGGGTCTTGAGCAATCCATGAGTTTTGTGGCTCCCAGGACCAAAACTACTCAATAAGACGCCGAAACTTGGTCCAGACAAGAACAGACACACAGGTACATAAGTTTACATTTTATTAAACAACTAGCACAAAAAATATTGCAACATGTACATTTGCTGCTTCTTCCACTACAGTGCATAGTTTTTCATATTTTGTGCTATCGAGAAGGTGGTGCCAGGCGGGATTGGACCCAAGAACATCTCGCTGCAAGGAAACGACACATAAGAGAGTAAAGACCAAAATATTCATATGCAAACAGTGTTTTTCAATAGCAATGACAAGAAGACATATTTTCCTCCCTGTTAATAAGAGAAAAAAATATCAGATCTTTAAAACTTTTGTCTGGTTTTGTTATGGGACAGAATGCCCCTCTTCCAAATGCGTTAAATCTATACAGTGAGGTCCCCATATGGACCAGAAACAACAAGTATAACCAAACACCATTAAATTACCCCATTAAAAACACTGCTGCTCTGGGCCAGAGTGAAGAGAGAGGGGACTAGGAAGACATTTCCACCTTGTCTCCTGACTATGTCATCAGCTGGGAGCCCCTCCCCCCAGCACCAACCGCTGCTCTGGGCCAGAGTGAAGAGAGAGGGGACCAGGAAGACAGTTCCATCTTGTCTCCTGACTATGGCATCAGCTGGGAGCCTCTCCACCCAGCACCAACTGCTCCTCTGGGCCAGAGTGAAGAGAGAGGGGACCAGGAAGACAGTTCCGCCTTGTCTCCTGACTATGTCACCAACTAGGAGCCCCTCCCCCCAGCACCAACTGCTGCTCTGGGCCAGAGTGAAGAGAGAGGGGACTAGGAAGACATTTCCACCTTGTCTCCTGACTATGTCATCAGCTGGGAGCCCTTCCTCCCAGCACCAACTGCTGCTCTGGGCCAGAGTGAAGAGAGAGGGGACTAGGAAGACATTTCCACCTTGTCTCCTGACTATGTCATCAGCTGGGAGCCCTTCCTCCCAGCACCAACTGCTGCTCTGGGCCAGAGTGAAGAGAGAGGGGACTAGGAAGACATTTCCACCTTGTCTCCTGACTATGTCATCAGCTGGGAGCCCCTCCCCCCAGCACCAACCGCTCCTCTGGGCCAGAGTGCAGAGAGAGGGGACCAGGAAGACAGTTCCGCCTTGTCTCCTGACTATGTCACCAACTAGGAGCCCCTCCCCCCAGCACCAACTGCTGCTCTGGGCCAGAGTGAAGAGAGAGGGGACCAGGAAGACAGTTCCATCTTGTCTCCTGACTATGTCATCAGCTGGGAGCCCCTCCCCCCAGCACCAACTGCTGCTCTGGGCCAGAGTGAAGAGAGAGGGGACTAGGAAGACATTTCCACCTTGTCTCCTGACTATGTCACCATCTGGGAGCCCCTCCTCCCAGCACCAACTGCTGCTCTGGGCCAGAGTGAAGAGAGAGGGGACTAGGAAGACATTTCCACCTTGTCTCCTGACTATGTCACCATCTGGGAGCCCTTCCTCCCAGCACCAACTGCTGCTCTGGGCCAGAGTGAAGAGAGAGGGGACTAGGAAGACATTTCCAACTTGTCTCCTGACTATGTCACCATCTGGGAGCCCCTCCTCCCAGCACCAACTGCTGCTCTGGGCCAGAGTGAAGAGAGAGGGGACTAGGAAGACATTTCCACCTTGTCTCCTGACTATGTCACCATCTGGGAGCCCCTCCTCCCAGCACCAACTGCTGCTCTGGGCCAGAGTGAAGAGAGAGGGGACTAGGAAGACATTTCCAACTTGTCTCCTGACTATGTCACCATCTGGGAGCCCCTCCTCCCAGCACCAACTGCTGCTCTGGGCCAGAGTGAAGAGAGAGGGGACTAGGAAGACAGTTCCATCTTGTCTCCTGACTATGTCATCAGTTGGGAGCCCCTCCCCGCAACACCAACTGCTGCTCTGGCCCAGAGTGAAGAGAGAGAGGACCAGGAAGACAGTTCCATCTCGTCTCCTGACTATGTCATCAGCTGGGAGCCCCTCCCCCCAGCACCAACTGCTGCTCTGGGCCAGAGTGAAGAGAGAGGGGACTAGGAAGACATTTCCACCTTGTCTCCTGACTATGTCATCAGCTGGGAGCCCTTCCCCCAGCACCAACTGCTGCTCTGGGCCAGAGTGAAGAGAGAGGGGACCAGGAAGACATTTCCACCTTGTCTCCTGACTATGTCATCAGCTGGGACCCCTCCCCCCAGCACCAACTGCTGCTCTGGGCCAGAGTGAAGAGAGAGGGGACTAGGAAGACATTTCCACCTTGTCTCCTGACTATGTCATCAGCTGAGAGCCCCTCCCCCCAGCACCAACTGCTGCTCTGGGCCAGAGTGAAGAGAGAGGGGACCAGGAAGACATTTCCACCTTGTCTCCTGACTATGTCATCAGCTGAGAGCCCCTCCCCCCAGCACCAACTGCTGCTCTGGGCCAGAGTGAAGAGAGAGGGGACTAGGAAGACATTTCCACCTTGTCTCCTGACTATGTCATCAGCTGAGAGCCCCTCCCCCCAGCACCAACTGCTGCTCTGGGCCAGAGTGAAGAGAGAGGGGACCAGGAAGACATTTCCACCTTGTCTCCTGACTATGTCATCAGCTGAGAGCCCCTCCCCCCAGCACCAACTGCTGCTCTGGGCCAGAGTGAAGAGAGGGGACTAGGAAGACATTTCCACCTTGTCTCCTGACTATGTCATCAGCTGAGAGCCCCTCCCCCCAGCACCAACTGCTGCTCTGGGCCAGAGTGAAGGAAGGAAGGAAGGAAGGAAGGAAGGAAGAGGAAGGGAAGGGAAGGGAAGGGAAGGAAGGAGTAGGGAAAGGGAGAAGGGGAGAAAAAAGGGAGGGAAGGAAAGAAGGGAAGGAAAGAAAGGGAAAGAAGAAGGAAAGGGAGGGAGGAAAAGAAGGAAAGAAAGAAGGAAGGAGGGACAGGAAGGAAGGGAAGGAGGGAAAGAAGGAAAGGAAGGAGAAGGAAGGAAGAAAAGGAAAGAAAGGGAGGAAGGAAGGAAGGAAGGAAAGGGAGGAAAGAAGAGAAGTTAGTGAGGGAGAGAAGGAAGGTCCTTCACTCGAATACCCTCGACCTTCCTCGCCTCCCTCCTCCTCCTCCTCCTCCTCCTCCTCCCCTTCTTCCTTGCCTGGGGGTTCCGCCGCTGCCACTCATCCGCCCCTTCCTCTTCCAACAGGGAAAGCAGGAGGAGGAGAATGCCCTCCTGACATAGCAGGGAAAGAGAAGGGGCTCCATGCGGCAAGCCTCCACCTCCACTCCCATGGTGCCCACTCTCGCTTGTGTGTGTGTGTGTGTGTGGCCGTGCACACGTGCCTGGCTCCTCGTGCTTTAACAGCCAGCTGTTTCCCGTGAGGAGGACGGGGCGTGGCCATGTGTCTCTTTGTGCGCCTGCAGTTTCTCCTTTGTGGACATGCAGTTTAGAAGTCCTTTCTGCTTTTTGTTTTCGTTTTTTTTTTTTGAGTGAAGGACATACATTGGGTTGTTAGGTGTATTGTGTCCAAATTTGGTGTCAATTCCCCCAGTGGTTTTTGAGTTCTGTCACTCCCACAAATTGACATTTTTGTTATTATTATTATTTTATTTGAACTTATATGCTGCCACTCCCCTGGGGCTTACAAGAATGGCTAAAATCTAACAAAATTTAAAAGCAATTTAAAACAATTTACAAACAGCAATATCATACATTAAAAGCCTGTCGAAACAGGTATGTCTTGCATGCCCTGCGGAAAGCTGATAAGTCCTGCAAGGCACGGACTTCAGGTGGCAGAGTGTTCCAGAGCGATGGTGCCACTGCTGTGAAGGCTCTGCGCCTGGTTGCTGTTAGACGCAAGGTCTCGACACTGGGGACTTCCAATAGATCTTGGTCCTCAGAACGGAGGAATCTCTGGGGTTGGTAGGGGGTGAGGCGGTCCTTCAGGGACATCGGCCCCAGACCATGCAAGGCCTTAAAGGTGAGTACCATCACTTTGAAAGTGATCCGGTGCTCAATGGGTAACCAATGCAGCTGTAGTAAGATTGGGGTTATGTGGCATCTCATTGGAATTCCCGCAAGAAGCCGAGCAGCTGCGTTTTGTACCAACTTGAGCTTCCGGATCACCGACAGAGGAAGGCCAATGTAGGGGGCGTTACAGTAGTCCAGTCTTGAGATGACCGTAGCCTGGATCACCGTAGCTAGGTCATCCCTGGACAGGGAGGGGGCCAGACGTCTAGCCTGCCGCAGGTGAAAAAAGGCGGTTCTGCTCACGGCCTCCATCGTCAGCAGAGGGTCCAAAAGGACTCCCAGACTCTTTACCAATGATGACGGGCGTAGTGCCTCGCCATCCAGGGTAGGCAGCTGGATGTCCCCACTGCCCGGTCAACCCAGCCATAGGATCTCCGTCTTTGCTGGATTCACCCTCAACCTGCTGGCACGCAGCCATCCAGTCACGGCCTCGAGGCACTGATGGAAACAATCGGGTACAGAGTCTGGTCGGCCTTCCATCTTCAGCACCAGCTGAGTGACATCAGCGTACTGGTCACACTCCAGCCCAAAACCTCAAACCAGTTGAGCAAGTGGTCGCATTTAGATGTTAAACAACAGAGGGGAGAGAATGCCCCCCTGAGGAACCCCACAAGAGAGAGAGAGGGGACCTCTCAGAGACCAGGCCTCCCCTCTCCACTCGCTGTCCACGGTTGTGAAGAAAGGAGGACAGCCAGTTTAAAGCTCTCCCCAACTCCAGCAACAGCGAGGCGGCGGGTCCAAAGATTGTGGTCGACTGTGTCTAATGCTGCTGTGAGATCCAATAACACAAGCAGCGCTGACCCGCCCTGGTCAAGCTGGCATCGAAGGTGATCCGTGATGGAGACCAGCACAGTCTCTGTCCCGTGCCCCGCACGGAAGCCAGACTGGAAGGGATCTAGTCCGGCTGTGTCGTTTATTTATATAGATTACCTTCCCCCGCCCCCTTTTACCTGATCTTCACAAAATCCGATGTCCTATTGCTTGCCATTAAGACTTCCAAGTAGTCTCCAGACAAAGAAACAGGGCGTCTGTTGCCGAATTTTGGAGGGCAGTGCTCCAGTAACCCGACGGGGATGTACCTACCCAAAAGAAAGGAGAGGAGAAAAACACGACAGTGTATGCTCAGTGGAATTCAGGTTTGTTTTTTGTTTTTTTTTACAATGGCGTCCAAAACCTGATATCTTAGGCATGTCGTTTTTTCAAAAAAACACTTTGTAACCCCCGGTGGCGCAGTGGGTTAAAGCACTGAGCTGCTGAGCTTGTTGATCGAAAGGTCGCAGGTTCGATTCCAGGGAGCGGCATGAGCTTCTGCTGTCAGCCCTAGCTTCTCCCAACCTAGCAGTTCGAAAACATGCAAATGTGAGTAGATCAATAGGTACCGCTCTGGCGGGAAGGTAACGGCGCTCCATGCAGTCATGCTGGCCACATGACCTTGGAGGTGTCTACGGACAACACTGGCTCTTCGGCTTAGAAATGGAGATGAGCACCACACCCCAGAGTCAGACATGACTGGACTTAATGTCAGGGGACTACCTTTACCTTTACCTAACCCTGTTTCCTAGAAATAGCTTTTGGTGTATGTGTGTGTAATGTGGTGGAATTCCAACACTCTAACACTGAGCTAAGCGGACCGGGATCCAACAGGCTTCTTCAACCTGCAGCCCTCCAGATGCGTTGGACTGTCAATAAATTTAAAGCATAGGTTCTTTTTACTGCAATTTCTAGGCTTGGGCGATCAAGAAAAAAATTGGTTCTAAACTCGTTTCGTTTCTAGGGTGCGCTAGCGTTTTGAAATTCTGAGGACTTTCGAAATTTAAGATTTCAAAATTTCGAAATTTCCGAAATTTCGTAAACTACGAATTGATTCGTTAATGGCGGACGCGATTGCGCAATATGCTAAAAAAAACCTCCAAATGGGACAGGGGGAACTTCTATTATATTATTATTATATTATTATATTATATTGTTGTATATTATATTATAATATTATTATACTATATTATTGTATATTATATTATATTATTTTATATTATATTATTATATTATAATTATATTATATATTATAATAATAATATAATATAATAATTTATTATATTATAAAAAGGTAAAGGTAGTCCCCTGACATTAAGTCCAGTCATGTCTGACTCTGGGGTGTGGTGCTCATCTCCATTTCTAAGCCGAAGAGCCAGCGTTGTCCATAGACACCTCCAAGGTCATGTGGCCGGCATGACTGCATGGAGCGCCGTTACCTTCCCGCCGGAGCGGTACCTATTGATCTACTCACATTTGCATGTTTTCGAACTGCTAGGTTGGCAGAATCTAGGGCTGACAGCGGAAGCTCACGCTGCTCCCCGGAATCGAACCTGCGACCTTTCGATCAACAAGCTCATCAACTCAGTTCTTTAACCCACTGCGCCACCGGGGGCTCCACTATAATATAATAGTATTATAATAATATAATATACGAAAGAGGAGGGAAGCAGCAGAGCAAAGGGACCGGAAGTGGGGTAAATGTGAAATTGTAAAACTTGCACCAGACATATGAAAATAATTACGAAATAATTACGAAAATTGGAAAAAAATGTTTCGATTCTTAATTACTCCTCACACTATTCCTGCATGGCTTGATATTGGATCGTAAGCTAATTTAAATACGAATCAATAACGAATTACAAAATTAACAAACTGGATTGCCCAAGCCTAGTATTTATACCCCGCCCTTCTCAACCTCCGAGGGGGGACTCGATGTCTACAAGCAACACAACAAAATAACTGACTTACTCCCACACAGTTGGATCATCAAGTGCCTAGACGCCATCGGCATTTGTAAAAATGTTGGCACTTTTATTGACAATATGATGAAGCACTGGAAAACTGTTTGCTGGAAATGAAAACTACGGACTTGTCAACCTCAGGAGAGGAATCTTCCAGGGAGACTCATTGTCCCCACTGCTTTTCATCATTGCCATGATCCCTCTGACAACAACCTTACAAAAAACAAACCTGAGCTATCAAACATCTAAGAAATCTCACAAAATTTCACATCTGCTGTACATGGATGACCTGAAGCTGTATGGGAAAACCGAAACTGAAATCCAGCCTCTGACTAACATTGTCCGAATCTTTAGCACCGATACCAACATAGAGTAGAATCATAGAATCAAAGAGTTGGAAGAGACCTCATGGGCCATCCAGTCCAACCCCATTCTGCCAAGAAGCAGGAATATTGCATTCAAATCACCCCTGACAGATGGCCATCCAGCCTCTGTTTAAAAGCTTCCAAAGAAGGAGCCTCCACCACACTCCGGGGCAGAGAGTTCCACTGCTGAACGGCTCTCACAGTCAGGAAATTCTTCCTCATGTTCAGATGGAATCTCCTCTCTTGTAGTTTGAAGCCATTGTTCCGCGTCCTAGTCTCCAAGGAAGCAGAAAACAAGCTTGCTCCCTCCTCCCTGTGGCTTCCTCTCACATATTTATACATGGCTATCATATCTCCTATCAGCCTTCTCTTCTTCAGGCTAAACATGCCCAGCTCCTTAAGCCGCTCCTCATAGGGCTTGTTCTCCAGACCCTTGATCATTTTAGTCGCCCTCCTCTGGACACATTCCAGCTTGTCAATATCTCTCTTGAATTGTGGTGCCCAGAATCGGACACAATATTCCGTGTGGTCTAACCAAAGCAGAATAGAGGGGTAGCATGACTTCCCTAGATCTAGACACTATGCTCCTCTTGATGCAGGCCAAAATCCCATTGGCTTTTTTTGCCGCCACATCACATTGTTGGCTCATGTTTAATTGTTGTCCACGAGGACTCCAAGATCTTTTTCACACGTACTGCTCTCGAGCCAGGCATCCCCCATTTTGTATCTTTGTATTCATTTTTTCTGCCAAAGTGGAGTATCTTGCATTTGTCACTGTTGAACTTCATTTTGTTAGTTTTGGCCCATCTCTCTAATCTGTCAAGATCGTTTTGAATCCTGCTCCTGTCCTCTGGAGTATTGGCTATCCCTCCCAATTTGGTGTCGTCTGCAAACTTGATGATCCTGCCTTCTAGCCCTTCATCTAAGTCATTAATAAAGATGTTGAACATGACCGGGCCCAGGACGGAACCCTGCGGCACTCCACTTGTCACTTCTTTCCAAGATGAAGAGGAAGCATTAGGGAGCACTCTCTGTGTTCGTCCATTTAACCAATTACAGATCCACCTCACCGTAGTTCTGCCTAGCCCACATTGGACTAGTTTCCTTGCCAGAAGGTCATGGGGGACCTTGTCGAAGAAGGGCCTTCCTGAAATCCAGACACGCTCCATCCACAGCATTCCCCGCATCTACCCAGCTTGTAGCTCTATCGAAGAAAGACATCAGATGAGTCTAGCATGACTTGTTTTTGAAATCACCCCTTACAGATGGCCATCCAGCCTCTGTTTAAAAGCTTCCAAAGAAGGAGCCTCCACCACACTCCGGGGCAGACAGTTCCATTGCTGAACGGCTCTCACAGTCAGGAAGTTCTTCCTAATGTTCTTACAAGTCAAACAAGCAGTCGAAGAAGAAAAACACAATGCCCTGGCAGAAGAAGTCAAGGAAAGCCAAGAACCTGCTTTAATTGAAATCAATAATCAGAAACATCTCAAAGCACAGCAGACAAAGAGTCAGTACAAGAAAACTGCACTCGAAACCAGAGCTGACAGCTGGCACAACAAAGCCTTACATGGGCAGTTCCTTGACAAAATTGAAGGAAAAGTTGACAAGAAGAAGACCTGGTGATGGCTCACGAATGGAACCCTGAAGAACCCTGTTTCTTGCAGCCCAGGAGAAAGCCATCAGAACCAATGCCATTAAGGCCAGGATTGAAAAGAGCAATTTGAATTAACTCAGTTGTGGAAAAACACGCTCTTAACTCAAGGTATCACTTTACCAGGGGTTTTGCATATCCCTGTGTCACCTGTGGAGACGGGAATTGTATGATATAGCTTAATTATAAATCAAGATTGTTCAACCAAACTGGACCCAGCTTTCCATGCAACTTGGTGGGGTTTTGCAGAGCTGTTGTTACCTGCAGAGGAACTGCTGCCACTGCACGAGGGCAGCCCGGGTTCTCTCCACACCTTTTGTGTCGGTCCCCCAATACTCCAAGCCGTAGTTCGTGAACTCTTTGAGCATGTCCAGTCGTTCCCGGGAGGAGATGTCCCAGTGCCGCAGCTCTTTGATTTCGGTGAAGATCCACGGCTTGACTAAGGCACTCCTGAGAAGAAATAGAGAGAGAGAGAGTTCCAGAAGATGGGAGCAGACACCAAAAAGGCCGAGTCCTCACTGAACAACCCTCTGATGTGGGTTGTTGTAGGTTTTGTCAGGCTATATGGTCATGTTCTAGAGGCATTCTCTCCTGACGACCACCTCACCCGCCTCATAGGAAACCTGCTACTAAACAGGAGCTTTTTTGTTGAGTTCCAGGCCAGAGAAGCAGATGGCGGAAACAGAAGAACGGTCTGCCTCAGGGGAGCGTGCTTGCCCCATCCATGTTCAACATCGACACAAATGACCAGCCACTTCCAGAAGGGACAGAGAGCTTCATCTATGCTGATGATTGTGCCATCACTGCTCAAGCAGGGAGCTTTGAGATGGTTGAACAGAAGCTCTCCGAAGCTCTAGGTGCTCTTACGGCCTATTACAGGGAAAAACCAGCTGATCCCTAATCCATCTAAAACACAGACATGTGCTTTTCATCTCAAGAACAGACAAGCATCCTGAGCTCTGAGGATGACCTGGGAAGGAATCCCACTGGAGCATTGCAGCACTCATAGCACTCACCCAAATACCTGGGAGTCACTCTGGACCGTGCTCTGACCTACAAGAAGCACTGCCTGAACATCAAGGAAAAAGTGGGTGCTAGAAACAATATCATACGAAAGCTGACTGGCACAACCTGGGGATCACAACCAGACACAGTGAAGACATCTGCCCTTGCGCTATGCTACTCTGCTGCTGAGTATGCATGCCCAGTGTGGAACACATCTCACCACGCTAAAACAGTAGATGTGGCTCTTAATGAGTCATGCCACATTATCACGGGGTGTCTGCGCCCTACACCACTGGAGAAATTACACTGCTTAGCCGGTATTGCACCACCTGACATCCGCTGGGAAGTAGCAGCCAATAGTGAAAGGACTAAGGCAGTGACATCTCTGGCCCATCCTCTGTTTGGGTATCAGCCAGCACGCCAATGACTTAAATCTAGAAATAGTTTTCTAAGATCTACAGAGACACTTGCTGGAACACCTCAGCAAGCGAGAGTCCAAAAGTGGCAGGCTCAAACCAATGGCTGATACCAAATGAGAGACTCCCCCCTGGGCACACAGAAGACTGGGTGACTTGGAAGGCGCTGAACAGACTGCGCTCTGGCACCACGAGATGCAGAGCCAACCTTCAGAAATGGGGCTACAAAGTGGAATCCACAACATGCGAGTGTGGAGAGGAGCAAACCACTGACCACCTGCTGCAATGCAACCTGAGCCCTGCCACGTGCACCATGGAGGACCTTCTTGCGGCAACACCAGAGGCACTCCAAGGGGCCAGATACTGGTCAAAGGACATTTAATCAACTACCAAGCTTGCAAACTCTGTGCCTTTTGGGTATCAGCCATTGATTGAGGCTCTAGGTTTGAGCCTGCCACTTTTGGACTCTTGCTTGCTGAGGTGTTCCAGCGAGTGTCTCTGTAGATCTTAGAAAACTATTTCTTGATTAATCAACTACCACGCTTGCAAACTCTGTGCCTTTTGTATGTTTGTTTGTATGTTCTGTCAAAAATGTAATACAACTGTTTGGTTGCCTGACACGATAAATAAGCCAGATTGCCCAGGGAGTGGTCAAGGGTTTCCCTTGTAGAAGGAAGGAACAGTTTATGAAGAAAGTTGCCTGTCCCTTGTGGACAAGATTTAAGCAAGCCACCAGTTGATTCAAAGCCTTGAAGTATTTGTCTGATTTATTGAAGATTTAAGCAACAATAAAAACTTTGTTGAACTTTCTAAGCTTCTAAAAGAACTTTGTGTGGGGAAATCCGAAGGGCCTCTCAGCCGAGGCACCCCCGGCGTCCTGTTGGGCATTCAGAAAACACGTCCTGTCTACAGACTCTTTCACAGGCCCAGCGAGTGACAGCACACAATGAACAAACACTTGTGCAGTGTCGGAACACTCCCATTGCAGAAAAGGAAAAAGCGCTTGCCTTGCAATCGTGACCCCCGAAACGCCGGTTTTCTTGGCTTTTAAGACATCTTCAAAGGAGAAAATATCCCCACACCCTGGATGACAAGAAAGGGGAGAAAGATGGGTTCAGCAGAAATTGAAACTCAGCAGAAAATACAAACACTACACATTCCCCCCCAAGCTGCCTTCTGACTCCGCCCCCTTCTGGCAATGTGTGCACAAGATGGATACCTGCTGGCTCCTCCATTTGAAAATGCAACCTCTTCCTGTTATGGAAAAGCTCATTCGTAAAAATGGAATCATATTCTCTGATACAGATAAGGAAGCGAGTCCAATTTGCCTTTGAAACTACTGTCAAACTCTTTCTCCACAACTGCTAACACACTCTCCTAGCTTCAACTGTCTCCAGTTGGTCAGGTTTTTTAAAAACTCCCTCAAGGTTCCTTTCTTCTTCTTCTCTTGACCAAACTCCACCCACTTTCCCTCTAGGACTCTCATCCAATCAGGTGGCACTACACATTCCCCCCCAAGCTGCCTTCTGGCTCCGCCCCCTTCTGGCAATGTGTGCACAAGATGGATGCCTGCTGGCTCCTCCACAAAATGGATGCCTAGCTGTTGGGCCTTGTAGGCTTGGGTGATCAAGAAAAAAAATGGTTCAAAACTCATTTCGGATGTAGGGGGCGCTGGCGATTCAATTTTGAAATCATTTCCGAAATTTTCTTGAAAAAAAGATTGGAAATACCAGGAAATACGAATTGCTTCGTTTGCTTCGTTAGTGGAAGGTGCCCCTCCCTCCCTCTAGAACCATTAAAATCGCGCAGTTTCCCTTCCTTCCTTTGCGTAATATAATATTTATAATATTATAATGTAATGCAATATAATAATAATAATAATAATATATTGTTATTATAATATTTGTATTCATGTAATGTTACGAATAATATTACAGTTTTTATTTATTTATTGTCAAAGGCTTTCATGGCTGGAATCGCTAGGTTCTTGTGGGTTTTTTCGAGCTATAGGGCCATGTTCTAGAGGCATTTCTCCTGACGTTTCGCCTGCATCTATGGCAAGCATCCTCAGAGGTAGTGAGGTCTGTTGGAAATAGGACAATGGGTTTATATATCTGTGGAATGGCTGGGGTGGGGATTTGTTTGTCTGCTGGAGGTAGGTGTGAATGTTTCAACTGACCACCTTCATTAGCATTTGAAGGCCTGGCTGAGCCTGGGAAAATATTTTGTTGAGAGGTATTAAGATGTGCCTGGTTGTTTCCTCTCTGCTGTTTTTGCTGTTGTAATTTTAGAGTTTTTTAATACTGGTAGCCAGATTTTGTTCATTTTCATGGTCTCTTCCTTTCTGTTGAAATTGTCCACATGCTTGTGGATTTCAATGGCTTCTCTGTGTAGTCTGACATGGTGGTTGTTGGTGTGGTCCAGCATTTCTGTGTTCTTCAAATAATATGCTGTGTCCAGGCTGGTTCATCAGGTGCTCTGCTATGGCTGATTTCTCTGGTTGGAGTAGTTTGCAGTGCCTTTCATGTTCCTTGATGCGTGTTTGGGCAATGCTGCGTTTGGTGGCCCCTATATAGACTTGTCCACAGCTGCATGGTACACGTTAGACTCCTGCAGAGGTGAAAGGATCCCTCTTGTCCTTTGCTGAATGTAGCATTTGTTGGATTTTCTTGGTGGGTTTGTAGATTGTTTGTATATTGTGTAAAATTACAACAGCAAAACAGCGGAGAGGAAACAACCAGGCACATCTTAACACTTCTCAACAAAAGATTTTCCCAGGCTCAGCCAGGCCTTCAAATGCTAATGAAGTTGGTCAGTTGAAACATTCACACCTAGCTCCAGCAGAGAAGTACTCTTTGCCCCACCCCAGCCATTCCACAGATATATAAACCCATTGTCCTAATTCCAACAGACCTCACTACCTACAAGCAATATATCAATTTCAAAGCAAGCCCGCTTGTGAGTGGTTATTTACTATTGCTATTTAGGGTTATAAAAGGAAGTGGTGGTGGGGAAAAAGTCAGTAGTGTCTTTCTTTGCTGCAGAGATACAAGCAATATATCCATTTCAAAGCAAAACCGGCTTGTGAGTGGTTATTTAATATTGCTATATAGAACCTACACGGGCACAGCTTTGTCGTGCCTCAGCCCAACCAATGCAGAGGAAAAAAGAAAAGGTGATATAAACATGGCTTACCAAAAAGTGGCATCGGTTTGGCGATCTTGGCACACTGTGATATGTAGTCCCAGTCCGCTGGCGATTTGAATGGCGTTGCTTTTGCCCGTCCGTGAAGCTGAGAGGGTCAGAAGTATTAACTTAGGTCATATAATTATCCGCACTTGAGCTTTCAATGTTTTAACCATTGTACTTTGGATCTGTGACTTTTTTGGGAATGCTCAATCACAGAATCCTAGAGTTGGAAGAAACCTCATGGACCATCCAGTCCAACCCCATTCTGCCAAGAAGCAGGAAAATCGCATTCAAAGCACCCCCGACAGATAGCCATCCAGTCTCTGTTTCAAAGCTTCCAAAGAAGGAGCCTTCACCACACTCTGGGGCAGAGAGTTCCACTGCTGAATGGTTCTCACAGTCAGGAAGTTCTTCCTAATATTCAGATGGAATCTCCTTTCTGGTCGTTTGAAGCCATTGTCCCATTGCATCCTAGTCTCCAGGGCAGCGGAAAACAAGCTTGCTTCCTCCTCCCTATGACTTCCTCTCACATATTTATTCTTCTGTTTCCGCCATCTGCTCCTTTTGTTGAGTTCCAGGGCCAGAGAAGCAGATGGAGGAAACAGAAGAACGGCCTGCCTCAGGGGAGCGTGCTTGCTCCATCCATGTTCAACATCTACACAAATGACCAGCCACTGCCTGAAGGGACAGAGAGCTTCATCTATGCTGATGATCGTGCCATTACCGCTCAAGCAGGGAGCTTTGAGATGGTTGAACAGAAGCTCTCCGAAGCTCTAGGTGCTCTTACTGCCTATTACAGGGAAAACCAGCTGATCCCTAATCCATCTAAAACACAGACATGCGCCTTTCACCTTAAGAACAGACAAGCATCCCGAGCTCTGAGGATTACCTGGGAAGGAATCCCACTGGAGCATTGCAACACACCCAAATACCTGGGAGTCACTTTGGACCGTGCTCTGACCTACAAGAAGCACTGCCTGAACATCAAACAAAAAGTGGGCGCTAGAAACAACATCATACGAAAGCTGACTGGCACAACCTGGGGATCACAACCAGACACAGTGAAGACATCTGCCCTTGCGCTACTCTGCTGCTGAGTATGCATGCCCAGTGTGGAACACATCTCATCACACTAAAACAGTGGATGTGTCTTAATGAGACATGCCGCATTATCACGGGTGTCTGCGCCCTACACCACTGGAGAAATTACACTGCTTAGCCAGTATTGCACCACCTGACATCCGCCGGGAAGTAGCAGCCAATAGTGAAAGGACCAAGGCAGAGACATCTCCAGCTCATCCCCTGTTTGGGTATCAGCCAGCACGTCAACGACTTAAAACAAGACATAGTTTTCTTAGATCTACAGAGACACTCGCTGGAACACCCCAGCAAGCGAGAGTCCAAAAGTGGCAGGCCCAAACCCAGCACCTCAATCCATGGGTGATACCAGATGAGAGACTCCCCCCTGGGCACACTGAGGACTGGGCGACTTGGAAGGCACTGAACAGACTGCGCTCTGGCACCACGAGATGCAGAGCCAATCTTAGGAAATGGGGCTACAGGGTGGAATCCTCGGTATGCCAGTGCGGAGAAGAACAAACCGCTGACCACCTGCTGCAATGCACCCTGAACCCTGCCACATGCACAAGGGAGGAACTTCTTGCGGCAACACCAGAGGCACTCCAAGGGGCCAGATACTGGTCAAAGGACATTTAACCAACTACCAAATTTGCAAAATCTGTGTTTTTTTTTTCCTTTTTCTTTTTAATCTGTGTGTTCGGTTTGCTCTGTTAGAATTGAAATACAATGGTATGGTTGCTGATGACACGATAAATAAATATTTATACATGGCTCTTATCATGTCTCCCCTCAGCCTTCTCTTTGGAAGGCTAAACATGCCCAGCTCTTTCAGCTGCTCCTCATAGGGCTTGTACTCCAGACCCTTGATCATTTGAGTTGTCCTCCACTGGACACCTTCCAGCTTGTCAACATCTCTCTTCCAGAGATGAGGGGCCACCACAGAGAAGGCTCTTTCTCTCGTCCCCACGAGTCGCACTTCTGATGTGGGCGGAAGTGAGAGAAGGGCCTCTCTGGAAGATCGAAGAAGTCGTGTGGGTTCGTAGACGGAGATGCGGTCACGCAGGTAGGCGGGCCCCAAACCATTCAGGGCTTTGTAGGTCAAAACCTGCACCTTGAATTGGGCCCGGAACATGAATGGCAGCCAGTGGAGCTCCTTAAACAGGAGGGTTTTTGGTTTTGTTTTTTGTCGTGTCAGGAGCTTCTGGTGTGAGAGAATTGGCCATCTGCAAGGACGGATGATTTGATGTTTTTATCATCCTTGGGAGGCTTCTCTCATGTCCCCGCATTAGGAGCTGGAGCTGATAGAGGGAGCTCATCCGCCTCTCCCCGGATTCAAACCTGCGACCTGTCTGTCTTCAGTCCTGCCGGCACAGGGGTTTAACCCACTGCGCCACAGGGGGCTCCAACAGGAGGGTTGACCTCTCTGTAATTCGCCCCAGTTAATAGTCTGGCCGTTGCCCATTGGACAAGTTGAAATTTCCCGCCCGTCTTCAAGGGCAGCCCCACGTAGAGTGCATTGCAATAGTCCAATCTAGAGGTAACTAAGGCGTGGACCACCGTGGCCAAATCTGCCTTCACGGAGTATGGTCGCAGCTGGCGCATGAGCTTCAATTGTGCAAAGGCCCAGCCACCGCTGCCGCCTGGGCTTCAAGCATTAGCAATGAGTCGAAGCATGCGGGGAATGCGGAAGTGCTTCATCAGCGTCGCAGATGGACGATGAAAGCGACAGCTCCCCTGGCGGCTAGAAAAAGTTAAATAGCCTCTGTGTATGTCTGTATATGTTTGTATGTCAAAAATTGGCATTGAATGTTTGCCATATATGTGTACACTGTAATCCACCCTGCGGGGAATGCCGTGGATGGAGCGTACCTGGATTTCAGGAAGGCCTTCGACAAGGTCCCCCATGACCTTCTGGCAAGGAAACTAGTCCAATGTGTGCCAGGCAAAACTACGGTGAGGTGGATCTGTAATTGGTTAAGTGGACGAACACAGAGAGTGCTCACTAATGCTTCCTCTTCATCTTGGAAAGAAGTGACAAGTGGAGTGCCACAAGCAGGGTTCCGTCCTGGGCCCGGTCCTGTTCAACATCTTTATTAATGACTTAGATGAAGGGCTAGAAGGCATGATCATCAAGTTTGCAGACGACACCAAATTGGGAGGGATAGCCAATAGTCCAGAGGACAGGAGCAGGATTCAAAACGATCTTGACAGATTAGAGAGATGATGGCCAAAACTAACAAAATGAAGTTCAACAGTGACAAATGCAAGATACTCCACTTTGGCAGGAAAAATGAAATGCAAAGATACAGAATGGGGGACAATGCCCTGGCTCGAGAGCAGTACGTGTGAAAAAGATCTTGGAGTCCTCGTGGACAACAAGTTAAACATGAGCCAACAATGTGATGTGGCGGCAAAAAAAGCCAATGGGATTTTGGCCTGCATCAATAGGAGCATCGTGTCTAGATCTAAGGAAGTCATGCTACCCCTCTATTCTGCTTTGGTTAGACCACATCTGGAATATTGTGTCCAATTCTGGGCACCACAATTCAAGAGAGATATTGACAAGCTGGAATGTGTCCAGAGGAGGGCGACTAAAATGATCAAGGGTCTGGAGAACAAGCCCTATGAGGAGCGGCTTAAGGAGCTGGGCATGTTTAGCCTGAAGAAGAGATGGCTGAGAGGAGATATGATAGCCATGTATAAATATGTGAGAGGAAGCCACAGGGAGGAGGGAGCAAGCTTGTTTTCTGCTTCCCTTGGAGACTAGGACGCGGAACAATGGCTTCAAACTACAAGAGAGGAGATTCCATCTGAACATGAGGAAGAACTTCCTGACTGTGAGAGCCGTTCAGCAGTGGAACTCTCTGCCCCGGAGTGTGGTGGAGGCTCAGGGGTGATTTGAATGCAATATTCCTGCTTCTTGGCAGGGAGTTGGACTGGATGGCCCATGAGGTCTCTTCCAACTCTTTGATTCTATTCTATGATTCTATGAGTCCCCTGCGGGGTGAGAAGGGCGGAATATAAATACTGTAAATAAATAAATAATAAATACCATACCGTGACCATAGCGGTTCCCCAATGATGGAGATTGGGGATGAGGGTGTGAGCCAGATTCTCCTCCAGGTCTATGCCGCTCCTCAGCTTCACTGTTATAGGAACGTTCGACACCTAACAACAAGAGAAACGCAACGCAGTGTGACGTGTCAGGAACCAATTTGATGCATCAAAAAAGCAGAAAAGAGCCCTCTCCCTTTCCCTGGTTGAAGGGGACACAAGTGCAGACAACATCCATCTGCCAAGTAGGAGAGGAGAGTCCTCTGCCCAGCTGCCCAACGTACGTAGTCCATGCCACGGACAATCTGTTCAAATTTGATGGGATGATCCATTAAGGCACATCCTCCGCCCTGGGAAAGCAAAAAAAGGAGAGACACTTGGAAAAGATCGCCTTCTTCCTACTATCCAACAAATCGCCAGGCATGTTTGGGCCATAATCAGTGGGGTATAACTGTATGGGTTTTAGAATGGTAATTATTATGTGCAGCTGGTAGTGTAGGTCAGCCAGCATGTTTGGGCCACACCCGGTGGGGTATAACTCTATGGGTTTTAGAATTGTAATTATTATGTGCAGCTGGTAATGTAGGTCAGCCAGCATGTTTGGGCCACACCCGGTGGGGTATAACTCTATGGGTTTTAGAATGGTAATTATTATGTGCAGCTGGTAATGTAGGTCAGCTAGCATGTTTGGGCCATACCCGGTGGGGTATAACTCTATGGGTTTTAGAATGGTAATTATTATGTGCAGCTGGTAATGTAGGTCAGCCAGCATGTTTGGGCCACACCCGGTGGGGTATAACTCTATGGGTTTTAGAATGGTAATTATTATGTGCAGCTGGTAATGTAGGTCGCCAGCATGTTTGGGCATACCCGGTGGGGTATCACTCTTTGGGTTTTATAATGGTAATTATTATGTGCAGCTGGTAATGTAGGTCAGCCAGCATGTTTGGGCCATACCCGTAGGGTATAACAGTATGGGTTTTAGAATGGTAATTATTATGTGCAGCTGGTAATGTAGGTCAGCCAGCATGTTTGGGCCATACCCGGTAGGGTATAACTCTATGGGTTTTAGAATGGTAATTATTATGTGCAGCTAGTAATGTAGGTCAGCCAGCATGTTTGGGCCATACGCGGTGGGGTATAACTCTGTGGGTTTTAGAATTGTAATTATTATGTGCAGCTGGTAATGTAGGTCAGCCAGCATGTTTGGGCCATACCTGGTGGGGTAACTCTGTGGGTTTTATAATGGTAATTATTATGTGCAGTTGGTAGTGTAGGTCAGCCAGCATGTTTGGGCCATACCCGGTGGGGTATAACTGTATGGGTTTTAGAATGGTAATTATTATGTGCAGCTGGTAATGTAGGTCAGCCAGCATGTTTGGGCCATACCCGGTGGGGTATAACTGTGTGGGTTTTATAATGGTAATAATTATGTGCAGCTGGTAGTGTAGGTCAGCCAGCATGTTTGGGCCGTACCCGGTGGGGTATAACGGTGTGGGTTTTAGAATGGTAATTATTATGTGCAGCTGGTAATGTAGGTCAGCCAGCATGTTTGGGCCATACCCGGTGGGGTATAACTGTATGGATTTTAGAATGGTAATTATTATGCAGCTGGTAATGTAGGTCAGCCAGCATGTTTGGGCCATACCCGGTGGGGTATAACTGTGTGGGTTTTAGAGTGTCTCTGTAACTCCCCCAAAGAGTTACAGACACACATCGTTGACATACCGTCTCATACAACTGGGAATTTTCGGCGTTAATGTCCACAAAATCCACTTGGACCTTCTCATTGAGGAATTCTGTGCATTTGACCATGTGTTCGGGATCAGATCCTTCTATCTGTAGTTTGAAGAGATGGAAACACATGGAATAAACAGCCAACGCATCTGCATCTACGTCCCATCTCGCAACCTAAGATCATCTAGGGAGGCCCTGCTCTCGCTTCCGTCAACATCGCAAATGCGTTTGGCGGGTATGAGAGACGGGGCCTTCTCGGCTGTGGCCTCCCGCCTATGGGCCTTCAGAAAAAAAATTAAAATTGTGGTTTGGGGACCAGGCCTTCAGGCAGCAGACGTAATTTGCACCATAATGGACATTGACTGGAATGGCGTTGTGGCAGATGACATTGTGACTTTGTTTTATTGTTTTAATTAATGCTATATGTATTGGTTTTAATGACTGTTTTGTATTTGATTGTGTTATATTATTGTAATTGTGATGTAGCGGTCTTGCACCGTTACTAATGTAAGCCGTCCTGAGTCCCCCCTTCAGAAGTAGAGAAGAGACGGGATACAAATGCCAGAAATAAATCTATATAAATAAAAATGTAATGTTCGTTTGTGGGATTAACACAACTCAGAAACCACTGGACGAACGGACATGAAATTTTGACACAATACATCTAACAGTCCAAGAAGTGTTCATCACACCTAAAAATACAAAACAACAACAACAACAACAAAACAGCCAGCAGAAGGGACTTAAAAACCCCCAAAATGCACCATATATATACACACACACACACACCTACACTCATGTGTATGTGTATGTATGTATATGTATATATATATATCTCCAAGCACACGCAAATATACACACATATATACATATACACATGCACACACAAATATACACATGCACACATACATACACACACACCTACACTCATATACACATGCACACATACATACACATACATGTATGTATATATATATATATATATATATCCAAGCACACACAAATATACACACATATATACATATACACATGCACACATACATACACACCTATACTCATATACACATGCACACATACATATACATACATGTATATATATATATATATATCTCCAAGCACACACGTATATACATATACACATGCACACACAAATATACAGATGCACACATACATACACACACACACCTACACTCATATACACATGAACACATACATACACATATGTGTATGTATATGTGTGTGTATGTATGTATGTGTATATATATATATATATATATATATATATATATATATATCTCCCCAAGCACACACAAATATACACACATATATACATATACACATGCACTCACAAATATACACATGCACACATACACATATATAAACACAAATATGCATATAGACAAGCACACACATATACACAATATACATATGCACATATAAACACACAAATATATACACACATATATATACATCTACACACAAATTTGCACCCCCCCCCACACACAGATATACGCAAACACACATATATACACAGATACACAAATATATACACTCATATATATATATACACAAAACATATATACAGACTGGGCCACAGCAATGCGTGGCAGTGGACGGCTAGTCTATCTATATATATAAAAATGCTCTGTACATAATGAGTACCTTAAAAACAAAAGAACCAATGAACAAAATCACTCCAAATTTGGCAACAAAATGTCTCACAACACAAGGAGTGACCATCACTCAAAAAATTATGATTTTGTCATTTGGGAGTTGTAGTTGCTGGGATTTATAGTTCACCTACAATCAAAGAGCATTCTGAACTCCACCGATGGAATTGAACCAAACTCCCCACATAGGACTCCCATGACCAACAGAAACCACTAGAAGGGTTTGGTGGGCATTGACCTTGAGTTTGGGAGTTGTAGTTCACCTACATCCAGAGAGCACTGTGGACTCAAACAATGATGGATCTGGACCAAACTTGGCACAAATACTCAATATGCTCAAATGTAAACACTGGTGGAGTTTGGGGAAAATAGACCTTGACATTTGGGAGTTGTAGTTGCTGGGATTTATAGTTCACCTACAATCAAAGAGCATTCTGAACTCCACCAACGATGGAATAGAACCAAACCTGGCACACAGGACTCCCCTGTGACCAACAGAAAACACTAGAAGGGTTTGGTGGGCATTGACCTTGAGTTTGGGAGTTGTAGTTCACCTACATCCAGAGAGCACTGTGGACTCAAACAATGATGGATCTGGACCAAACTTGGCACAAGCACTCAATATGCCCAAATATGAACACAGATGGAGTTTGGGGGGGGAATTGATTTTGTAATTTGGGAGTTGTAGTTGATGGGATTTATAGTTCACCTATAATCAAAGAGCATTCTGAACTCCACCAACGATGGAATTGAACCAAACCTGGCACACAGAACTCCCATGACCAACAGAAAATACTGGAAGGGTTTGGTGGGCATTGACCTTGAGTTTGGGAGTTGTAGTTCACCTACATCCAGAGAGCATTCTGAAGCACTGTGGACTCTAACAATGATGGATCTGGACCAAACTTGGCACAAGCACTCAATACACCCAAATATGAGCACAGATGGAGTTTGGGGGAAATAGACCTTGACATTTGGGAGTTGTAGTTGCTGGGATTTATAGTTCACCTACAATCAAACAGCATTCTGAACCCCACCAAGGATAGAATTGGCCCAAACTTTCCACACAACCCCTATGACCAACAGAAAATACTGTGTTTTCTGATGGTCCGGCGACCCCTTTGACACCCCCTCGCGACCCCCCTAGGGGTACCGACCCCTAGGTTGAGAAACGCTGTTCTAGAGCTACCTGGATGCCAAAAAAGTCTTCCGATTCATGACGGTGTACTGATCCTGCAAACTGCTCCAGCTCCCCCTGGCAAAACTTGTCGGAAGAAAAGATCTCGCCGCAGGTGATGTCCGCTCCAAACCGCTTGCAAATCCTCCGGAAAGGGAGGTTGCCCCACTGAAATCCAAGAGAAGGGAGAGGGTTGCAAATGGACTGAACTGGTTTTGACCAAAAGGACGTTTTGTTTCCACTCGAGAGAGCAAATAAAGCATTGACCTACCTCTGCTAAGGGGGATAAGTAAAGCTTCCCAAGAACATCCAACTGTGAAGACAGAGAAAAGATTTATTTACTACCTTCTCACCCCGAAGGACACACAGAGTGGCTTACAAGTAAAAAGTAAAGAGAGAGGGGACAGTTCCATCTTGTCTCCTGCATATGTCATCACTTGGGGATCCCTCCCCCCAGCACAACTGCCGCTCTGGGCCAGAGTGAAGAGAGAGGGGACCAGGGGACAGTTCCATCTTGTCTCCTGCATATGTCATCACTGGGGACCCCTCCCCCCAGCACCAACTGCCGCTCTGGGCCAGAGTGAAGAGAGAGGGGACCAGGGGACAGTTCCATCTTGTCTCCTGCATATGTCATCACTTGGGGATCCCTCCCCCCAGCAACAACTGCCGCTCTGGGCCAGAGTGAAGAGAGAGGGGACCAGGGGACAGTTCCATCTTGTCTCCTGCATATGTCATCACTTGGGGATCCCTCCCCCCAGCACCAACTGCCGCTCTGGGCCAGAGTGAAGAGAGAGGGGGCCAGGGGACAGTTCCATCTTGTCTCCTGCATATGTCATCAATTGGGGATCCCTCCCCCCAGCACCAACTGCCGCTCTGGGCCAGAGTGAAGAGAGAGGGGACCAGGGGACAGTTCCATCTTGTCTCCTGCATATGTCATCAGTTGGGGACCCCCCCCAGCACCAACTGCTGCTCTGGGCCAGAGTGAAGAGAGAGGGGACCAGGGGACAGTTCCATCTTGTCTCCTGCATATGTCATTACCTGGGGACCCCTCTACCCAGCACCAACCGCCGCTCTGGGCCAGAGTGAAGAGAGAGGGGACCAGGGGACAGTTCCACCTTGTCTCCTGCATATGTCATCACCTGGGGACCCCTCTACCCAGCACCAACCGCCGCTCTGGGCCAGAGTGAAGAGAGAGGGGACCAGGGGACAGTTCCACCTTGTCTCCTGCATATGTCATCACCTGGGGACCCCTCTACCCAGCACCAACCGCCGCTCTGGGCCAGAGTGAAGAGAGAGGGGACCAGGGGACAGTTCCATCTTGTCTCCTGCATATGTCATCACCTGGGGACCCCTCCACCCAGCACCAACTGCCGCTCTGGGCCAGAGTGAAGAGAGAGGGGACCAGGGGACAGTTCCATCTTGTCTCCTGCATATGTCATCAGTTGGGGACCCCTCCCCCAGCACCAACTGCCACTCTGGGCCAGAGTGAAGAGAGAGGGGCCAGGGGACAGTTCCATCTTGTCTCCTGCATATGTCATCAGTTGGGGACCCCTCCCCCCAGCACCAACTGCCACTCTGGGCCAAAGTGAAGAGAGAGGGGGCCAGGGGACAGTTCCATCTTGTCTCCTGCATATGTCATCACTTGGGGGGCCCTCCCCCCAGCACCAACTGCCACTCAGGGCCGGAGTGAAGAGAGAGGGGATCAGGGGACAGTTCCATCTTGTCTCCTGCATATGTCATCAACTGGGGACCCCTCCGCCCAGCACCAACTGCCACTCAGGGCCAGAGTGAAGAGAGAGGGGACCAGGGGAGAGTTCCATCTTGTCTCCTGCATATGTCTTCACCTGGGGACCCCTCTACCCAGCACCAACTGCCGCTCTGGGCCAGAGTGAAGAGAGAGGGGACCAGGGGACAGTTCCATCTTGTCTCCTGCATATGTCATCACTTGGGGACCCCTCCCCCCAGCACCAACTGCCACTCAGGGCCAGAGTGAAGAGAGAGGGGACCAGGGGACAGTTCCATCTTGTCTCCTGCATATGTCTTCACCTGGGGACCCCTCCCCAGCACCAACTGCCGCTCTGGGCCAGAGTGAAGAGAGAGGGGCCAGGGGACAGTTCCATCTTGTCTCCTGCATATGTCATCAGTTGGGGACCCCTCCCCCAGCACTAACTGCTGCTCTGGGCCAGAGTGAAGAGAGAGGGGTCCAGGGGACAGTTCCATCTTGTCTCCTGCATATGTCATCAGTTGGGGGGCCCTCCCCCCAGCACCAACTGCCGCTCTGGGCCAGAGTGAAGAGAGAGGGGACCAGGGGACAGTTCCATCTTGTCTCCTGCATATGTCATCACTTGGGGACCCCTCCCCCCAGCACCAACTGCCACTCAGGGCCAGAGTGAAGAGAGAGGGGATCAGGGGACAGTTCTATCTTGTCTCCTGCATATGTCATCAACTGGGGACCCCTCCCCCCAGCACCAACTGCAACTCAGGGCCCGAATGAAGAGAGAGGGGACCAGGGGACAGTTCCATCTTGTCTCCTGCATATGTCATCACTTGGGGATCCCTCCCCCCAGCAACAACTGCCGCTCTGGGCCAGAGTGAAGAGAGAGGGGACCAGGGGACAGTTCCATCTTGTCTCCTGCATATGTCATCACCTGGGGACCCCTCTACCCAGCACCAACCGCCGCTCTGGGCCATAGTGAAGAGAGAGGGGACCAGGGGACAGTTCCATCTTGTCTCCTGCATATGTCATCACTTGGGGATCCCTCCCCCCAGCAACAACTGCCGCTCTGGGCCAGAGTGAGGAGAGAGGGGACCAGGGGACAGTTCCATCTTGTCTCCTGCATATGTCATCACTTGGGGATCCCTCCCCCCAGCACCAACTGCCGCTCTGGGCCAGAGTGAAGAGAGAGGGGCCAGGGGACAGTTCCATCTTGTCTCCTGCATATGTCATCAGTTGGGGATCCCTCCCCCAGCACCAACTGCCACTCTGGGCCAGAGTGAAGAGAGAGGGGACCAGGGGACAGTTCCACCTTGTCTCCTGCATATGTCATCACTTGGGGATCCCTCCCCCCAGCACCAACCGCTGCTCTGGGCCATAGTGAAGAGAGAGGGGACCAGGGTACAGTTCCATCTTGTCTCCTGCATATGTCATTACCTGGGGACCCCTCTACCCAGCACCAACTGCCGCTCTGGGCCAGAGTGAAGAGAGAGGGGACCAGGGGACAGTTCCACCTTGTCTCCTGCATATGTCATCACTTGGGGATCCCTCCCCCCAGCACCAACTGCCACTCAGGGCCAGAGTGAAGAGAGAGGGGACCAGGGGACAGTTCCATCTTGTCTCCTGCATATGTCATCACTTGGGGACCCCTCCCCCCAGCACCAACTGCCACTCAGGGCCAGAGTGAAGAGAGAGGGGACCAGGGGACAGTTCCATCTTGTCTCCTGCATATGTCATCACTTGGGGATCCCTCCCCCCAGCACCAACCGCTGCTCTGGGCCATAGTGAAGAGAGAGGGGACCAGGGGACAGTTCCATCTTGTCTCCTGCATATGTCATTACCTGGGGACCCCTCTACCCAGCACCAACCGCCGCTCTGGGCCAGAGTGAAGAGAGAGGGGACCAGGGGACAGTTCCACCTTGTCTCCTGCATATGTCATCACCTGGGGACCCCTCTACCCAGCACCAACCGCCGCTCTGGGCCAGAGTGAAGAGAGAGGGGACCAGGGGACAGTTCCATCTTGTCTCCTGCATATGTCATCACCTGGGGACCCCTCTACCCAGCACCAACCGCCGCTCTGGGCCAGAGTGAAGAGAGAGGGGACCAGGGGACAGTTCCATCTTGTCTCCTGCATATGTCATCACCTGGGGACCCCTCTACCCAGCACCAACCGCCGCTCTGGGCCAGAGTGAAGAGAGAGGGGACCAGGGGACAGTTCCATCTTGTTTCCTGCATATGTCATCACTTGGGGATCCCTCCCCCCAGCACCAACTGCCACTCAGGGCCAGAGTGAAGAGAGAGCGGGCCAGGGGACAGTTCCATCTTGTCTCCTGCATATGTCATCACTTGGGGGGCCCTCCCCCCAGCACCAACTGCCACTCAGGGCCAGAGTGAAGAGAGAGGGGACCAGGGGACAGTTCCATCTTGTCTCCTGCATATGTCATCACCTGGGGACCCCTCCCCAGCACCAACTGCCACTCAGGGCCAGAGTGAAGAGAGAGGGGACCAGGGGACAGTTCCATCTTGTCTCCTGCATATGTCTTCACCTGGGGACCCCTCTACCCAGCACCAACTGCCGCTCTGGGCCAGAGTGAAGAGAGAGGGGACCAGGGGACAGTTCCATCTTGTCTCCTGCATATGTCATCACTTGGGGACCCCTCCTGCCAGCACCAACTGCCACTTAGGGCCAGAGTGAAGAGAGAGGGGACCAGGGGACAGTTCCATCTTGTCTCCTGCATATGTCTTCACCTGGGGACCCCTCTACCCAGCACCAACTGCCGCTCTGGGCCATAGTGAAGAGAGAGGGGACCAGGGGACAGTTCCATCTTGTCTCCTGCATATGTCATCACTTGGGGACCCCTCCCCCCAGCACCAACTGCCACTCAGGGCCAGAGTGAAGAGAGAGGGGACCAGGGGACAGTTCCATCTTGTCTCCTGCATATGTCATCACTTGGGGACCCCTCCCCCCAGCACCAACTGCCACTCAGGGCCAGAGTGAAGAGAGAGGGGACCAGGGGACAGTTCCACCTTGTCTCCTGCATATGTCATCACTTGGGGACCCCTCCCCCCAGCACCAACTGCCACTCAGGGCCAGAGTGAAGAGAGAGGGGATCAGGGGACAGTTCTATCTTGTCTCCTGCATATGTCATCAACTGGGGACCCCTCCCCCCAGCACCAACTGCAACTCAGGGCCCGAATGAAGAGAGAGGGGACCAGGGGACAGTTCCACCTTGTCTCATGCATATGTCATCAGTTGGCGACCCCTCCTGCCAGCACCAACTGCCACTCAGGGCCAGAGTGAAGAGAGAGGGGACCAGGGGAGAGTTCCATCTTGTCTCCTGCATATGTCATCAACTGGGGACCCCTCCGCCCAGCACCAACTGCCACTCAGGGCCAGAGTGAAGAGAGAGGGGACCAGGGGAGAGTTCCATCTTGTCTCCTGCATATGTCTTCACCTGGGGACCCCTCTCCCCAGCACCAACTGCCACTCAGGGCCAGAGTGAAGAGAGAGGGGACCAGGGGACAGTTCCATCTTGTCTCCTGCATATGTCATCACTTGGGGACCCCTCCCCCCAGCACCCACTGCTCTGGGCCAGAGTGAAGAGAGAGGGGACCAGGGGACAGTTCCATCTTGTCTCCTGCATATGTCATCAATTGGGGACCCCCCCCCGCACCAACTGCTGCTCTGGGCCAGAGTGAAGAGAGAGGGGACCAGGGGACAGTTCCATCTTGTCTCCTGCATATGTCATCACTTGGGGACCCCTCCCCCCAGCACCAACTGCCACTCAGGGCCAGAGTGAAGAGAGAGCGGGCCAGGGGACAGTTCCATCTTGTCTCCTGCATATGTCATCACTTGGGGGGCCCTCCCCCCAGCACCAACTGCCACTCAGGGCCGGAGTGAAGAGAGAGGGGACCAGGGGACAGTTCCATCTTGTCTCCTGCATATGTCATCACTTGGGGATCCCTCCCCCCAGCACCAACTGCCACTCAGGGCCAGAGTGAAGAGAGAGGGGATCAGGGGACAGTTCTATCTTGTCTCCTGCATATGTCATCAACTGGGGACCCCTCCCCCCAGCACCAACTGCAACTCAGGGCCCGAATGAAGAGAGAGGGGACCAGGGGACAGTTCCACCTTGTCTCATGCATATGTCATCAGTTGGCGACCCCTCCTGCCAGCACCAACTGCCACTCAGGGCCAGAGTGAAGAGAGAGGGGACCAGGGGAGAGTTCCGCCTTGTCTCCTGCATATGTCATCACTTGGGAACCCCTCCCCCCAGCACCAACTGCCACTCAGGGCCAGAGTGAAGAGAGAGGGGACCAGGGGACAGTTCCATCTTGTTTCCTGCATATGTCATCACTTGGGGATCCCTCCCCCCAGCACCAACTGCCACTCAGGGCCAGAGTGAAGAGAGAGGGGACCAGGGGACAGTTCCATCTTGTCTCCGGCATATGTCATCACTTGGGGACCCCTCCCGCCAGCACCAACTGCCACTCAGGGCCAGAGTGAAGAGAGAGGGGACCAGGGGAGAGTTCCATCTTGTCTCCTGCATATGTCATCAACTGTGGGCCCCTCTACCCAGCACCAACTGCCACTCAGGGCCAGAGTGAATAGAGAGGGGACGAGGGGACAGTTCCGCCTTGTCTCCTGCATATGTCATCACTTGGGAACCCCTCCCCCCAGCACCAACTGCCACTCAGGGCCAGAGTGAAGAGAGAGGGGACCAGGGGACAGTTCCATCTTGTCTCCGGCATATGTCATCACTTGGGGACCCCTCCCCCCAGCACCAACTGCCACTCAGGGCCAGAGTGAAGAGAGAGGGGACCAGGGGACAGTTCCACCTTGTCTCCTGCATATGTCATCACTTGGGGACCCCTCCCGCCAGCACCAACTGCCACTCAGGGCCAGAGTGAAGAGAGAGGGGACCAGGGGAGAGTTCCATCTTGTCTCCTGCATATGTCATCAACTGGGGGCCCCTCTACCCAGCACCAACTGCCACTCAGGGCCAGAGTGAATAGAGAGGGGACCAGGGGAGAGTTCCGCCTTGTCTCCTGCATATGTCATCACTTGGGAACCCCTCCCCCCAGCACCAACTGCCACTCAGGGCCAGAGTGAAGAGAGAGGGGACCAGGGGACAGTTCCATCTTGTCTCCTGCATATGTCATCACTTGGGGACCCCTCCCCCCAGCACCAACTGCCACTCAGGGCCAGAGTGAAGAGAGAGGGGATCAGGGGACAGTTCCGCCTTGTCTCCTGCATATGTCATCACTTGGGAACCCCTCCCCCCAGCACCACCTGCCACTTAGGACCAGAGTGAAGAGAGAGCGGGCCAGGGGACAGTTCCATCTTGTCTCTTGCATATGTCACCAACTGGAGACCCCTCCACCAGTACCAACTGCCACTCTGGGCCAGAGTGAAGAGAGAGGGGATCAGGGGACAGTTCTATCTTGTCTCCTGCATATGTCATCAACTGGGGACCCCTCCCCCCAGCACCAACTGCAACTCAGGGCCCGAATGAAGAGAGAGGGGACCAGGGGACAGTTCCACCTTGTCTCATGCATATGTCATCAGTTGGCGACCCCTCCTGCCAGCACCAACTGCCACTCAGGGCCAGAGTGAAGAGAGAGGGGACCAGGGGAGAGTTCCATCTTGTCTCCTGCATATGTCATCACTTGGGGACCCCTCCCCCCAGCACCAACTGCCACTCAGGGCCAGAGTGAAGAGAGAGGGGACCAGGGGAGAGTTCCGCCTTGTCTCCTGCATATGTCATCACTTGGGAACCCCTCCCCCCAGCACCAACTGCCACTCAGGGCCAGAGTGAAGAGAGAGGGGACCAGGGGACAGTTCCATCTTGTCTCCGGCATATGTCATCACTTGGGGACCCCTCCCGCCAGCACCAACTGCCACTCAGGGCCAGAGTGAAGAGAGAGGGGACCAGGGGAGAGTGCCACCTTGTCTCCTGCATATGTCATCAACTGTGGGCCCCTCTACCCAGCACCAACTGCCACTCAGGGCCAGAGTGAATAGAGAGGGGACGAGGGGACAGTTCCGCCTTGTCTCCTGCATATGTCATCACTTGGGAACCCCTCCCCCCAGCACCAACTGCCACTCAGGGCCAGAGTGAAGAGAGAGGGGACCAGGGGACAGTTCCACCTTGTCTCCTGCATATGTCATCAGTTGGGGACCCCTCCCGCCAGCACCAACTGCAACTCAGGGCCAGAGTGAAGAGAGAGGGGACCAGGGGAGAGTGCCACCTTGTCTCCTGCATATGTCATCAACTGGGGGCCCCTCTACCCAGCACCAACTGCCACTCAGGGCCAGAGTGAATAGAGAGGGGACCAGGGGAGAGTTCCGCCTTGTCTCCTGCATATGTCATCACTTGGGAACCCCTCCCCCCAGCACCAACTGCCACTCAGGGCCAGAGTGAAGAGAGAGGGGACCAGGGGACAGTTCCATCTTGTCTCCTGCATATGTCATCACTTGGGGACCCCTCCCCCCAGCATCAACTGCCACTCAGGGCCAGAGTGAAGAGAGAGGGGATCAGGGGACAGTTCCGCCTTGTCTCCTGCATATGTCATCACTTGGGAACCACTCTCCCCAGCACCACCTGCCACTTAGGACCAGAGTGAAGAGAGAGCGGGCCAGGGGACAGTTCCATCTTGTCTCTTGCATATGTCACCAACTGGAGACCCCTCCACCAGTACCAACTGCCACTCTGGGCCAGAGTGAAGAGAGAGGGGACCAGGGGACAGTTCCACCTTGTCTCTTGCATATGTCATCAACTGGGGACCCCTCCCCCCCAGCACCAACCACCACTCTGGGCCAGAGTGAAGAGAGGGCCAGGGGACAGTTCCACCTTGTCTCCTGTGCTATGTTAATAATATTATATAATATAATGTAATATTATATTATAATGCAATATAATACTACTAATAATAAATTATAATTATAATTATATATATGGTGTATTGTTTTTACTGTTTACTGTTATTGCTTAATGTTTTGATTTGCTTTATGGTTTATGTGTATTGTTGTATTGTTGTTTTATTGAGGCCTTGGCCTTTGTAAGCCGCATCGAGTCCTTCAGGAGATGCTAGTGGGGTACAAATAAAATTAATAATAATAATAATAATAATAATAATTATTATTATTATTATTATTATTATATTACATGTAATATTATTAATAATATTACAATATAATTGTATAATACAATATAGTAATATTTAATATTAATATTTATTGTACTATGCTAATAATATAAAATATTGTGTGTATAGGGCGGAATATAAATGCAGTAAATAAATAAATATGTTTGAACCTTTGGTGGAAAAGTCAATTATAAAACAAATTGTGGCTGCTTGGATTACTCTTTGTAGTAAGGCACCTCCAGGAAACGCAAGCCTTTGTGCCTATGATGTGCTCCCAGGCAGGAGAGAGTGCTGCTCCATTCCCATACCTTTTTTTTCTCGCAGGGCCATTACAAAACAAATTACGGCTGATTGGATTACTATTACTATTACTATTGAATTCTTCTTTAGTGATTTCTCCCTTTTTCCACTTCTTGTGCATGTCTCTTTTGTGTTTTAGCACAGTTAGAAGTTCTTTGGACATCCAAAGAACCTTTCCGCCTGTGATGAGCTCCCAGACAGGAGAGAATGGTGTGCGAATACATCCAGGTGAGGACCAAACGGTCTGCCCCATTTCCTATCCTCCATACCTTTTTTTTCTCGCAGGGCCTCAGCCTTATAAGGTCCTCATCTGTCAGGACACCGAGGGTGGGCGGAGTCTTGGGGGGCATTAACAGAGGAATTTTTGGTGGCAAATCGGATTTGGAATCAAGAGGACGGGGTATTCCCTTCTCTCCTGCAGCCTTCACGAGGCATTGGAGGTAGTCTTTGGACTTGCGAAAGGGAAACGCTTTCAGCTCTCCGGCAAGGTGAAGCATACGGTTCTTCACAGTTGGGTTCGTCATGTGTACCATCCACAGCTCTTCGTTGACCAGGTTCTGGAAGTCCGATCCCAAGTGGGCCCCACCGAAGCGGCAGGCGATCCCATATCGGCACTTGCCGAACAGCGAAAAGAGAATGCAGCAGTCTCCAATGTCCGGTGGCTTGGTGGCAAGGTACTTCTGGCGATCGTGCTGCCAGGGACACTTGGAGCCGAACCGACACTTCTCACCCTTAAACGAGAGGAAGATGCCATGAGGTCACGTCCACCAATCCCACCGCCGTCTAGAGCTGGAAGAGACTATAAAAGCCATCTAGTCTAGATTCCCTCATGGGTCCTCTAAGATTATTATTATTAGTAGTAGTAGTAGCAGTAGTAGTATTTGAAACACAACAAGATGGGTCCACAGCAGACACTCTGCTGGCTGTTGAATTGGATCACATGTCAGACACTTCCCAATTATTATTATTATTATTATTATTATTATTATTATTATTAGAAACACAACAAGATGAGACTACAGCAGACACTCTGCTGGCTGTTGTACTGGATCACACGTCGGACAATTCCCAAGTGTCTAGGACTGTGTAATGTATTATTATTATTATTATTATTATTATTATTATTATTATTATTATTTTATTATTATTATTATTAGAAACACAACAAGATGAGTCTACAGCAGACACTCTGCTGGCTGTTGAATTGGATCACACGTTGGACAATTCCCAAGAGTCTAGGACCTTGTGATGCATTATTATTATTATTATTATTATTATTATTATTATTATTATTATTATTATTACTATTATTAGAAACACAACAAGATGAGACTATAGCAGACACTCTGCTGGCTGTTGTACTGGATCACACGTCGGACAATTCCCAAGTGTCTAGGACTGTGTGACTTATTATTATTATTACTATTATCATTATTATTATTATTAGAAACACAACAAGATGGGTCCACAGCAGACACTCTGCTGACTGTTGTATTAGATCACACGTTGGACAAGTCCCTAGAGTCTAGGATCTTGTGATGTATTATTATTATTATTATTATTATTATTATTATTATTAGTAGTAGTAGTAGTAGCAGCAGTAGTAGTATTTGAAACACAACAAGATGGGTCCACAGCAGACACTCTGCTTGCTGTTGAATTAGATCACATGTCAGTCACTTCCCTATTATTATTATTATTATTATTATTATTATTATTATTATTAGAAACACAACAAGATGAGTCTACAGCAGACACTCTGCTGGCTGTTGAATTGGATCACACGTTGGACAATTCCCAAGAGTCTAGGACATTATTATTATTATTATATTATTATTATTATTATTATTATTATTATTATTATTATTATTAGAAACACAACAAGATGAGACTACAGCAGACACTCTGCTGGCTGTTGTTGGATCACACGTTGGACAATTCCCAAGTGTCTAGGACTGTGTGATGTATTATTATTATTATTATTAGAAACACAACAAGATGAGTCTACAGCAGACACTCTGCTGGCTGTTGAATTGGATCACACGTCAGACTATTATTATTATTATTATTATTATTATTATTATTATTATTATTATTATTAGAAACACAAGATGAGTCCCCAGCAGACACTCTGCTGGCTGTTGTATTAGATCGCAAGTTGGACACTTCCCAAGTGTCTAGGACCTTGTGATGCATCATCATCATCATTATTATTATTATTATTATTATTATTATTATTATTATTATTAGAAACACAACAAGATGGGTTCACAGCAGACACTCTGCTGGCTGTTGTATTGGATCACACGTCGGACACTTCCCAATTATTATTATTATTATTATTATTATTATTATTATTATTATTATTATTAGAAACACAACAAGATGGGTTCACAGCAGACACTCTGCTGGCTGTTGTATTAGATCGCAAGTTGGACACTTCCCAAGTGTCTAGGACTGTGTGATGTATTATTATTATTATTATTAGAAACACAACAAGATGAGACTACAGCAGACACTCTGCTGGTTGTTGAATTGGATCACACGTTGGACAATTCCCAAGTGTCTAGGACTGTGTGATGTATTATTATTATTATTATTAGAAACACAACAAGATGAGACTACAGCAGACACTCTGCTGGTTGTTGAATTGGATCACACGTTGGACAATTCCCAAGTGTCTAGGACTGTGTGATGTATTATTATTATTATTATTATTATTATTATTATTATTATTATTATTATTATTATTAGAAACACAACAAGATGAGTCCCCAGCAGACACTCTGCTGGCTGTTGTATTAGATCGCAAGTTGGACACTTCCCAAGTGTCTAGGACCTTGTGATGCATCATCATCATCATCATCATCATCATCATCATCATTATTATTATTATTAGAAACACAACAAGATGGGTTCACAGCAGACACTCTGCTGGCTGTTGTATTGGATCACACGTCGGACACTTCCCAATTATTATTATTATTATTATTATTAGAAACACAACAAGATGGGTTCACAGCAGACACTCTGCTGGCTGTTGTATTAGATCGCAAGTTGGACACTTCCCAAGTGTCTAGGACTGTGTGATGTATTATTATTATTATTATTAGAAACACAACAAGATGAGACTACAGCAGACACTCTGCTGGTTGTTGAATTGGATCACACGTTGGACAATTCCCAAGTGTCTAGGCTGTGTGATGTATTATTATTATTATTATTATTATTATTATTATTATTATTACTATTATTAGAAACACAACAAGGTGAGTCTACAGCAGACACTCTGCTGGTTGTTGAATTGGATCACACGTTGGACAATTCCCAAATGTCTAGGACTGTGTGATGCATTATTATTATTATTATTATTATTATTATTACTACTACTACTATTATTAGAAACACAACAAGATGAGTCCACAGCAGATACTCTGCTGGCTGTTGTATTGGATCACACGTCGGACAATTCCCTATTGTTGTTGTTATTATTATTCTGGGTACCTTTCGAAAAGGAAAGAAGGGCAGAAAATAAGTTCAAAAACAATGTCAGGTGAGCCATCCGTGAAAACTTTACCGTGAAGCAGTCCTTCCTCGTCTTCTTCCTCTTCTTCGTTTTTGTTGCTGGCTTGGCGGAAGACGACTCCAACACCGGGGCTGGAGGTGCTCCCGGCTCCAAGCTCTCCGATGCTTCTGCATTGTTTGGGTCGCCATCTTTTTCCCCACTCGGCCCTTTGTCGCGATCAACGCTGGAACTCACTGCTGCCTCAATAGAGGAGGTCCTGGAAGAGAAGAGGGTTAGAATCCCCCAGTGGGAAGGGAACCCCAAGGGCCATCTAGTCCAACCCCATTCCGCCAGGTAGGAAAACACAATCAAATCACCCCCAGATAAAGAAAAACACAAATTTTGCAAGCTTGGTTGTTGATTAAAGGCAGAGACATCTCCAGCGCATCCCTTGTTTGTCTATCAACCAGCACGTCAACGACTTAATTCAAGAAATAGTTTTCTAAGATCACTGGAACACCTCAGCAAGCGAGAGTCCAAAAGTGGCAGGCTCAAATCCAGAATCTCAATCAATTTTGTTTATTTATTTATCGTGTCAGTTGTATTACATTTTTAACAAGACAAACAAACAGACAAAACACAAAGTCTGCAAGCTTGGTAGTTGATTAAATGTCCTTTGACCAGTATCTGGCCACTTGGAGTGCCTCTGGTGTTACTATAAAAAGGTCCTCCATTGTGCATGTAACAGGAATCAGGTTGTGGTCTGTAATTTGCTCTTCTCCACACTCGCACGTCGTGGACTCCACTTTGTGGCCCCATTTCTTGAGGTTGGCTCTGCATCTTGTGGTGCCAGAGTGCAGTCTGTTCAGCGCCTTCCACGTCGCCCAATCTTCTATGTGCCCAGGGGGGAGTCTCTCTTTGGGTATCAGCCATTGGTTTGAGCCTGCCACTTTTGGACTCTCGATTGCTGAGGTGTTCCAGCGAGTGTCTCTGTAGATCTTAGAAAACTATTTCTTGATTTGAGTCGTTGACGTGCTGGCTGATACCCAAACAGGGGATGAGCTGGAGATGTCACTGCCTTGGTCCTTTCCCTATTGGCTGCTACTTCCTGGCGGATGTCAGGTGGTGCAATACCGACTAAGCAGTGTAATTTCTCCAGTCGTGTAGGGCGCAGACACCCTGTGATAATGCGGCATGTCTCATTAAGAGGCACATCCACTGTTTTAGCATGGTGAGATGTGTTCCACACTGGGCATGCGTACTCATCAGCAGAGTAGCATAGCGCAAGGGCAGATGTCTTCACTGTGTCTGGTTGTAATCCCCAGGTTGTGCCAGTCAGCTTTCGTATGATATTGTTTTTGCTTGATGTTCAGGCATCGCAAGTGGTGAACCTGACTCAGCACATAGAAGATGGCTTTTAAAGGCAGCAGATCACAGGAGCTGTCTTCATAGACCTGTCCGCAGCTTATGAGACTGTCGACCACCACCGCCTCCTCCTGAGAAAAATGTGTAATATCACAAAGGACGACCACCTCATAGGAAACTTGCTACAAAACAGGAGCTTTTTTGTTGAGTTCCAGGGCTGGAGAAGCAGATGGTGGAAACAGAAGAACAGCCTGCCTCAGGAGAGCGTGCTTGCTCCATCCATGTTCAACATCTACACAAATGACCAGCCACTGCCAGAAGGGACAGAGAGCTTCATCTATGCTGATGATCGTGCCATCACCGCTCAAGCAGGGAGCTTTGAGATGGTTGAACAGAAGCTCTCCGAAGCTAGGTGCTCTTACTAACTATTACAGGGGAAACCAGCTGATCCCTAATCCATCTAAAACACAGACATGTGCCTTTCACCGTAAGAACAGACAAGCATCCCGAGCTCTGAGGATGACCTGGGAAGGAATCCCACTGGAGCATTGCAGCACACCCAAATACCTGGGAGTCACTCTGGACCATGCTCTGACCTACAAGAAGCACTGCCTGAACATCAAGCAAAAAGTGGGCGCTAGAAACAATATCATACGAAAGCTGACTGGCACAACCTGGGGATCACAACCAGACACAGTGAAGACATCTGCCCTTGCGCTATGCTACTCTGTTGCTGAGTACACATGCCCAGTGTGGAACATATCTCACAGTAGATGTGGCTCTTAATGAGACATGCTGCATTATCTGCGCCCTACACGACTGGAGAAATTACACTGCTTAGCCGGTATTGCACCACCTGACATCCACCGGGAAGTAGCAGCCAACAGTGAAAGGACCAAGGCAGAGACATCTCCAGCTCATCCCCTGTTTGGGCATCAGCCAGCACATTAATGACTTAAATCTAGAAATAGTTTTCTAAGATCTACAGAGACACTCGCTGGAACACCCCAGCAAGCGAGAGTCCAAAAGTGGCAGGCTCAAACCCAGAGCCTCAAGCAATGAGAGACTCCCCCCTGGGCACACAGAAGACGGGGCGACTTGGAAAGCGCTGAACAGACTGCGTTCTGGCACCACGAGATGCAGAGCCAACCTCAAGAAATCGGGCCACAAAGTGGAATCCTCGGCATGCGAGTGTGGAGAAGAGCAAACCACTGACCACCTGCTGCAATGCACGCTGAGCCCTGCCACATGCACAAGGGAGGACCTTCTTGCGGCAACACCGGAAGCACTCCAAGGGGACAGATACTGGTCAAAGGACATTTAATCAACTGCCAAGCTTGCAAACTTTGTGTTTTTTTATCTGTTTGTTTGTTCTGTTAGAAATGTAATACAATGGTCTAGTTGCGGATGACACAATAAAAAAATAACAGAACTCAAAAACCACTGGACGAATTTACACTAAATTTGGACACAAGACACCTAACAACCCAATGTATGTTCTTCACTCAAAAAACTGCTTTTGTAATTTGGGAGTTGTAGTTGCTGGGATTTATAGTTCATCTACAATCAAAGAGCATTCTGAACCCCACCAACGGTGGAAATGAACCAAACTTGGCACACAGTTTCCCCATGACCAACAGAAAATACTGGAAGGGTTTGGTGGGCAGTGTCCTTTGGTTTCGGAGTTGTAGTTCACCTACATCCAGAGATCACTGTGGACTCAAATAATGATGGATCTGGACCAAACTCTACACGAATACTCAATATGCCCAAATGTGAACACTGGTGGAGTTTGGGGAAAATAGAATCTTGACATTTGGGAGTTGTAGTTGCTGGGATTTGTAGTTCACCTACGATCAAGGAGCATTCCGAACCCCACCAACAATAGAATTAGGCCAAACCTCCCACACAGAACCCCCATGTGGGCCACAGCAAAGCGTGGCGGGGGACGGCTAGATTATAAATAAAATCTAAATATTAATAATAATAACAATGGAAGAACTTCCCAACTGTGAGAGCTGTTCAGCAGTGGAACTCTCTGCCCCAGGGTGTGGTGGGAGCTCCTTCTTTGGAGGCTTTGAAACAGAGGCTGGATGGCCATCTGTCGGGGGTGCTTTGAATGCAATTTTCCTGCTTCTTGGCTCCAAACTACAGGAAAGGAGATTCCACCTGAACAATAAGAAGAGCTTCCTGACTATGAGAGCTGTTCAGCAGTGGAACTCTCTGCCCCAGGACGTGGTGGAAGCTCCTTCTTTGGAGGCTTTGAAACAGAGGCAGGATGGCCATCTGTCGGGGGTGCTCTGAATGCAATTTTCCTGCTTCTTGGCTCCAAACTACAGGAAAGGAGATTCCACCTGAACAATAGGAAGAGCTTCCTGACTGTGAGAGCTGTTCAGCAGTGGAACTCTCTGCCCCAGGATGTGGTGGAAGCTCCTTCTTTGGAGGCTTTGAAACAGAGGCAGGATGGCCATCTGTCGGGGGTGCTTTGAATGCAATTTTGGGAGGGAAAGCTCCTTCTACTTACTGAGATTCCTTGGGGGGCTCCCCAGAGGCCTCCATTTCCCGGAAGAAGAGGTCTCTTCCCTCCAAATCCTTTTCCTCCAGGAAGAAGCCTCTTGAATCCTTGCAAGGAGGGAACCAAGTTTAAAAATGGGCACTGTCTTTTTAAATCCTAAGCCCCGCCCCTTGCATGCCTCCCTCCGGCCAATCAACGGCTAGAGCGCAGTTCCGGTTTGGGCCGCAAGTGAGCTCAGGGAAGCCGCTTTGAGACTTTGTTTACCCTTTGCACTTCCGGTTTGTACCGGAACTGACACCAGGGGCGCCTCTAGCCCTGCGAAATCTATCGTCTTGTTCCTCCAAGTGGAAGGAGATGGAATGAGCAAAGGATTTGGAGGGAAGAGAGCTCTTTTTCCGGGAAATGGAGGCCTCTAGTGAGGCCCCCAAGGAATATCAATAAGTAGAAGTGGCTTTGTATTGTCGAAGGCTTTCATGGCTGGAATCACTAGGTTCTTGTGGGTTTTTTCAGGCTATAGGGCCATGTTCTAGAGGCATTTTCTCCTGACGTTTCGCCTGCATCTATGGCAAGCATCCTCAGAGGTAGTGAGGTCTGTTGGAATTAGGACAATGGGTTTATATATCTGTGGAATGGCTGGGGTGGGGCAAAGAGCTCTTCTCTGCTGAAACTAGGTGTGAATGTTTCAACTGACCACCTTCATTAGCATTTGAAGGCCTGGCTGAGCCTGGGAAAATCTTTTGTTGAGAGGTGTTAACATGTGCCTGGTTGTTTCCTCTCTGCTGTTTTGCTGTTGTAATTTTAGCTCACCATTGGCTCACCATTTGGAGCCATTTTGTTGTTCATTCGTTCAGTCGTCTCCGACTCTTTGTGACCTCATGGACCAGCCCACGCCAGAGCTCCCTGTCGACCGTCACCACCCCCAGCTCCTTCAAGGTCAGTCCAGTCACTTCAAGGATGCCATCCATCCATCTTGCCCTTGGTCGGCCCCTCTTCCTTTTACCTTCCACTTTCCCCAGCATCATTGTCTTCTCTAGGCTTTGCTGTCTCCTCATGATGTGGCCAAAGGACTTCAACTTTGTCTCTAGTCTCCTTCCCTCCAGTGAGCAGTCGGGCTTTATTTCCTGGAGGATGGACTGGTTGGATCTTCTCGCAGTCCAAGGCACTCTCAGCACTTTCCTCCAACACCACAGCTCAAAAGCATCTATCTTCCTTCGCTCAGCCTTCCCTAAGGTCCAGCTCTCATAGAGAAGAAGAACTCAACAGGTTCCTGGATCATCTAAACAGCATCCACCCAAACATCCAATTCACAATGGAAAAAGAAAATGAAGGAAGACTGCCTTTTCTAGATGTCCTAGTCATCCGCAAACCAGATCAACAATTGGGTCACACCGTTTACAGAAAACCCACACACACAGATAGATATCTACATAAAAACTCCAACCATCACCCAAGTCAAAAAAGAAGCACCATTAAAGCCTTGGCAGACCGTGCAAAAAGAATCTGCGAACCCCACCTCCTCCAAGATGAACTGAACCACCTCAACTGGGCTCTCCAGGCCAATGGAGACTCCACCTCAGACATCAGAAGAGCTGCAAGACCAAGAACAAGCCACGAGAGTAAAGATGAAGATCCACCCAGAGGAAAAGTGTTCTTGCCATACATCAAGGGAACCACTGACCGCATAGGGAAGCTGATGAGGAAACACAACATACAAACAATCTACAAACCCACCAAGAAAATCCAACAAATGCTACGTTCAGCAAAGGACAAGAGGGATCCTCTCACTTCTGCAGGAGTCTACCGTGTACCATGCAGCTGTGGACAAGTCTACATAGGGACCACCAAACGTGCAGCATTGCCTGAACACGAATCAAGGAACATGAAAGGCACTGCAGACTACTTCAACCAGAGAAGTCAGCCATAGCAGAGCACCTGATGAACCAGCCTGGACACAGCATATTATTTGAGAACACAGAAATGCTGGACCACTCCAACAACCACCATGTCAGACTACACAGAGAAGCCATTGAAATCCACAAGAAGCATGTGGGCAATTTCAACAGAAAGGAGTAAACCATGAAAATGAACAAAATCTGGCTACCAGTATAAAAAAAACTCTAAAATTAGAAAAGCACAACAACAGAGAGGAAACAAACAAGGACATCTAATCACCTCTCAACAAAAGATTGCTCCAGGCACTGCCAGGCTACAAATGCTAATGAAGGTGGTCAGTTGAAACATTCCCACCTAGCTCCAGCAGAGAAGAGCTCTTTGCCCCACCCCAGCCATTCCACAGATATATAAACCCATTGTCCTAATTCCAATAGACCTTACTACCTCTGAGGATGCTTGCCATAGATGCAGGCGAAACGTCAGGAGAAATGCCTCTAGAATATGGCCCTATAGCCTGAAAAAAACCCACAACAACCTAATAATAATAATAATAATAATAATAATAATAATAATGTTATTTATATCCCTCCATTATCTCCCCCCAGGAAGTTCGATTTAAACGAAGATTCAACTTCAGAAAGGCAGATTGGACCAAATTCTCAGACATGTTAGATGACATGATCACATCAGTCACGCCAATCCCTGAGGAATACGAGCACTTTATTGAAATCGTGAAAACCTGCTCACAGGCCTCGATACCGAGAGGCTGCACAACCAACTACCTTCAGGGCATTACTCCTGAAACAGCTGCCTTGTTGGGAAACTATTACAGGCTCCACAACAAAGACCCATTTAGTGAGCAAACCCTTCAGGCATTGTGTCCTCCATCTCTGAAGCCAAGAAAGAACAGTGGATCAAGCTGATCACAGAGGTCGACATGGGCAGGAGCAGCCAGAAGGCGTGGAGGCTGCTGAGAAGGTTAAGCAACGACCCCTCACAAACTAATACCCATGCCAACATAAAGGCAGACCAGATAGCACACCAACTCTTGAAGAACGGGAAACCCAACTTTGCCACCAAAGTAGGAGAGAAACCAATAGCCAGACAACAAGAGATTGAGAACAACAACCTTCATGAACCCTTTACATCTACTGAATTGGACATGGCTCTCAATAAATGTAAGAATGGCAAAGCAGCTGGCCTGGATGATCTACGGATGGAACAAATCAAGAACTTTGGTCGAAAAGCAAGGTGCTGGCTGCTGGAGCTGATGAACAACTGCACTGCATCCTGTCAGATCCCCAAAATCTGGAGGAAAGCAAGAGTCATGGCCATCTTGAAGCCAGGCAAAGACCGTAATGACCCAAAAAGCTACAGACCAATCTGCCTGTTGTGCCACCTCTACAAAGCTCTCATATCCGTAGGTGACTATGGGGAATACTTTTATCTACAGGTTCAGATTTCCCTGGTCTTTTCCTGCCCTCTGCTGTTGAGAGCCAGAATTGCGTCTGCCAGGAAAAGCCCATAGTAAACATCAACAACCTTAGATATGCAGATGATACCACTTTGATGGCTGATGGTCAACCCTCCTGTTCAAGGAGCTCCACTGGTTGCCATTCATTTTCTGGACCCAATTCAAGGTGCAGGTTCTTACCTACAAAGCCCTGAATGGTTTGGGACCCGCCTACCTGTGTGACCGCATCTCTGTATACGAACCCACACTAAGTCTTTGATCATCTGGAGAGGCCCTGCTCTCGATCCCACCTGCATCGCAGGCGCGATTGGTGGGGATGAGAGAGAGGGCCTTTTTGGTGGTGGCCCCTCGACTCTGGAACTCACTCCCTAAGGACATCAGGCAGGCCCCAACTCTGGTAGTCTTTAGGAGGAGTTTGAAGACATGGTTGTTCCAGTGTGCCTTCCCAGAATAATGATCCCATAGCACTTTGTCCTCCAAAGCACTTAACATATTAGTTCTGCTTGTATGTTTCCACAACGCCACGTTCACCTTTTCGCCCATGTCCTGGCATCATTTCCAATTTTAACTTTTACATTTGGCCTTCCCACAGTTTTTAATATTGTGTTGTCTTATTGTTAATTGTTGCAATAAGACACTGAAATCTTGGTCCAGACAAGAACAGACACACAGGTACATACGATTAAATTTTAATTAACGACGAGAACGAAAATAATTACGACATGTACATTTGCCTCCTCTTCCACCACAGCGCCTAGCCGTTCATATCGTGTTCCATCGGGAAGGTGAAGCCAGGTGAGACTGGACCCAAAAACATCTCGCTGCGAAAAGGTGACACAAGAAGAGGGTAAGACCAAAATATTAATGTACAAACCAGCGTTTCTCAACCTGGGGGTCGGGACCCCTGGGGGGGGGCGCAATGGGGTGTCTGAGGGGTCACTAGAGACCATCAGAAAACACAGTATTTTCTGTTGGTCACAGGGGTTCTGTGTGGGAAGTTTGGCCCAATTCTATTGTTGGTGGGATTCGGGATGCTTTTTGACTCTATAAGCTATACATCCCAGCAACCATAACTCCCAGATGGCAAGGTCTATTTCCCCCAAACTCCACCAGTGTCCACATTTGGGCATATTGAGTATTCGTACCAAGTTTGGTCCAGATCCATCATTGTTTGAGTCCACAATGCTCTCTGGATGTAGGTGAACTACAACTCCAAAATTCAAGGTCAATGCCCATCAATCCTTTCCAGTATTTTCTATTGGTCACTGGATTTCTGAGTGCCAAGTTTAGTTCAATTACATCATTGGTGGAGTTCAGCATGATCCTTGATTGTAGGTGAACTATAAATCCCAGCAACTATCAACTCCCAAATGTCAAAATTCTATTTTCCTCAAACTCCGCCAGTGTTCACATTTGGGCATATTGAGTATCTGTGCCAAGTTTGGTCCAGATCCATCATTGTTTGAGTTCACCGTGCTCTCTGGATGTAGGTGAACTACAACTCCAAAACCCAACGTCCACCAAACTCTTCCAATATTTTCTGTTGGTCATGGGAGTTCAGTGTGCCAGGTTTGATTCAATTCCATCATTGGTAGAGTTCAGAATGATCCTTGATTGTAGGTGAACTAAAAATCCCAGCAACTACAACTCCCAAATGACAACATTAACCTCCCCAACCCCATATCTGTAAGTATGGAACTGAAACAATAAACATGACGAAACATCCTGACTTCCAATAGGGATTGGAAGAGGCTGGATAACAATCTGTTGGGGGGTGATTTGAATCTGTTTGTCTTTATGGGTTGGACTGGATGACCTTTGGGGTCTTTTCCACCTCTGATTCTATGATAGGAATTTGGTAGGTCTTCCAATGCAACTCTATGCGGGAAGCGTGCCATCAAATTTCCTGAATAGCCTAGCAATTTCCATAAAGAGGTCATTTCCCCAAAAAGATTCAGGAGAGCAAAATGGCGGAGAGAAGGCTGCCGTAAGTTCCCATGATGCCAAGATCAATAATAATAATAATAATAATAATAATAATAATAATAATAATAATCTATATATAAATAAAAATGTAATGTTCGTTTGTGGGATTAACAGACCTCAAAAACCACTGGACGAACTGACACCAAATTTGGACACAAAATACCTAACAACCCAATGTATGTCCTTCAATAAAAAAAATTGATTTTGTCGTTTGGGAGTTGTAGTTGCTGGGATTTATAGTTCACCTACAACCAAAGAGCATTCTGAACCCCACCAACGATGGAATTGAACCAAACTTTGCACACAGAGCTCCCATGACCAACAGAAAATACGGGAAGGGTTTGGTGGGCAGTGTCCTATGGTTTTGGAGTTGTAGTTCACCTACATCCAGAAAGCACTGTGGACTCAAACAAAGATCGATCTGGACCAAACTCTACACGAATACTCAATATGGCCAAATGTGAACACTGGTGGAGATTGGGGAAAATAGAATCTTGGCATTTGGGAGTTGTCGTTGCTGGGATTTATAGTTCACCTACAATCAAAGAGCATTCTGAACCCCACCAACGATGGAATTGAACCAAACTTGGCACATAGTTCTTCCCTGACCAACAGAAAATACTGGAAGGGTTTGGTGGGCAGTGTCCTTTGGAGTTGTAGTTCACCTACATCCAGAGAACACTGTGGGCTCAAACAAGGATGGATCTGGACCAAACTCTACATAAATACTCATTATGCCCAAATGTGAACACTGGTGGGGTTTGGGGAAAATAGAATCTTGACATTTAGGATTTGTAGTTCACCAACAATCACAGAGCGTTCTGAACCCCACCAACGATATAATTGGGCCAAATCTCTCACACAGAACCCCCATGAACACCAGAGTGGGCCACAGCAACGTGTGACAGGGGACGGCTAGTAATAATAATAATAATAATAATAATAATAATAATAGTAATAATTTATTTATACCCCACCACCATCTCCGGAAAGGGACTCGGGGCGGCTTACATGAGGCCAAGCCCAACAACACATCAATAAAACAACAAAGCAGTAAGCAAATAAAACAATACAGTGAATATAACTCACATATAGGCAATAACACCTTGAACAGAAGGGTTGATCGCTCCCTGTAAGTTGCTCCAGTTATTAACCTGGTTGCCAATAATTTCCGAGCCGTCTTCAAGGGCAGCCCCACGTAGAGTGCATTACAGTAATCCAATCTGGAGGTGACTAAGGCATGGACCACCCTGGTCAGATCCGCCTTCCCGAGGTATGGTCGCAGTTGGCGCACAAGTCTTAATTGTGCGAAGGCCCTCCCGGCCACCGCCGACGCCTGAGCTTCAAGCGTAAGTGATGAGTCCAGGAGGATACCCAAGTTGCGGACCTGTGACTTCACGGGGAGTGCAACCACATCCAGCACAGGTTGCCAGCCGATACCCCGATCCGGCTTACGATTGACCAGGAGGACCTCTGTCTTGTCAAGATTGATCCTCAGCTTATTCATTCTCATCCAGACAGCCACAGCGGCCAGGCACTCGTCCAGCACCCGAGGGGATTCCTTGGAATTAGGTGGAAAAGAGTAGTAGAGTTGGGTGTCATCTACGTAGAGATGGCGCCCAACTCCAAAACTCCGAATGAGCTCTTCAAGCATGGGAGACAGAATGGAACCTTGCGGGACCCCACAGGTCAAAGGCCAGGGGTCCGAGCACGTGTCCCCCAGCTTCACCATCTGGGAACGATCCTCCAAACTTCGGGCTTGGCTACTACGGCATTCTCTCTGGGGCTGCCCTGGGAGGCTATTTGGAAATCACACAAGATACTTAACTTGGTTACAAAGAAGGGGAAATCGGAGATGCCCTTTTTTTTTACCTGATCTTCACCATATCCGTCTCCTTTTGGCTTGACATTAAGACTTCCAAGTAGTCTCCGGACAAAAACAAAGGGTGTTCGTTGCCGAATTGTGGAGGGAAGTGCTCTCGTAACCCAAAGGGAATGTACCTGTGCAAAAGAAAGGAGAGGAGGAAAAAGATGTGCTCAGTGTAACTGGGGTTCGCTTGTTTTTTGTTGTTTTTTGTTTTAAAATGGACTCCAAAGCCTGAGATATTTTTTTGTTGTTGTTCATTTGTTGTTGTTTGTTCATTCGTTCAGTCGTTTTTATCGAAGATAAGTAAAAGCAGCAAAGTAGAAAAAGCACTTGAAGGGAATAGGTGAATCCAATTAGGAAAGAAGATAAGCAGGAACAAAGGGGGACACAGTGCTCTGCTTCGATGCAGAGTGAACTACAACTTCCATTCTGTTGAGTCAGTCCCCCCAACCCTATGTGTATAGTAGATAGATAGATGTGAATGTGTATCCATACGTTCACATAACAAAAACGGGGGGTGGGGGGCTGGATCGGTTTAAGAGCCTTTCAATGGATAAGGTCAATTCGAGATCAGAGCGATTCGAGATCAGAGCGATTTGAGATCAGAGCGATTCGAGATCAGAGTGATTTGAGGTAAGAGCGAATGGAACAAATTACACTCTTAACTTAAGGTATTACTGTACGAGCGGTTTTGCACATCTCTGCCAAATCCTGGAATGTATCACCTGCGGAAGCGGGAATCGTATGATATACCATATATACTCAAATATAAGCCGACCCGACTATAAGCCGAGGTATCTCATTTTACCGCAAAAAACTGGAAAAGCATATTGACTTGAAGATAAGCCGAGGATAAAAAATGCCAAAAATAGATACCAATTAAAATACATTAATTGAGGCATGAGTAGTTTAAATATTTTTGAATATTTACATAAAACTGTAATTTAAGATAAGACTGTCCAACTCTGATTAAACCATTATTCTAACTTTCTTCAATGTAAATGTGCTTACATACCCTTCTAATAATAAATAGAGTAAAATAATATATGTAATAATAATAATAATGAAGTAAAATAATGGAAATATAATAATAACAATAATAGAGTAAAATAATAAATGTCAAAATAACAACAATAAAGTAAAATAATAAATGCAATATTATTAATAATAATAATAGAGTAAAATGATAAATGTAATAATAATAATAATAAATAGAGTAAATAATAAATGAAAAATAACAATAAAGTAAAATAATAAATGCAATAATAATAGAGTAAAATGATAAATGTAATAATAATAATAATAATAATAATAATAATTAGAGTGAAATAATAAATGCAATAATAATAATAGAGTAAAATAATGGAAATATAATAATAATAATAATAATAATAATAATAGAGTAAAATGATAAATGTAATAATAATAATAATAATTAGAGTGAAATAATAAATGCAATAATAATAGAGTAAAATAATGGAAATATAATAATAATAATAATAATAATAGAGTAAAATAATAAATAATAATAACAATAAAGAGAGTAAAATAATAAATGTAAAAATAACAACAATAAAGTAAAATAATAAATGCAACAATAATAGAGTAAAATGATAAATGTAAAAATAACAATAATAGAGTAAAATAATAAATGTATAAATAACAACAATAAAGTAAAATAATAAATGCAATAATAATAATAGAGTAAAATGATAAATGTAATAATAATAATAATAATTAGAGTGAAATAATAAATGCAATAATAATAATAGAGTAAAATAATGGAAATATAACAACAACAACAATAATAATAGAGTAAAATAATAAATGTAATAATAACAATAAAGAGAGTATAATAATAAATGTAAAAATAACAATAAAGTAAAATAATAAATGCAATAATAATAAGTAAAATGATAAATGTAAAAATAACAATAATAAAAAGAGTAAAATAATAAATGTAAAAATAACAACAATAAAGTAAAATAATAAATGCAATAATAATAATAGAGTAAAATGATAAATGTAATAATAACAATAATAGAGTAAAATAATAAATGTAAAAATAACAATAAAATAAAATAATAAATGCAATAATAATAAATAGAGTAAAACAATAAATGTAATAAAATAATAACAGAGTAAATTAATGAATAACTTTGACTTGAGTATAAGCCGAGGGAGACTTTTTCAGCCTTAAAAAAGGGCTGAAAAACTAGGCTCATACTCGAGTATATACAGTAGTTCAACCAAACTGGGCTCAGTTTTCTGTACAATTTGGTGGGGTTTTGCAGAGCAGTTGTTACCTGCAGAGGAAATGCAGCCACTGCAAGAGGGCGGCCCGCGTTTTCTCCACGCCGTTCGTGTCGGTCCCCCAATACTCCAAGCCGTAGGCCGTGAAGTCTTTGAGCATGTCCAGCCGTTCCCGGGCGGAGATGTCCCAATGCCGCATCTCTTTGATTTCGGTGAAGATCCACGGCTTCACCAAGGCACCCCTGAGAAGAAATACAGATAAAGAGAGATGTCGGTCCAGAAGATGGGAGCAGACACCGAAAAGGCCCAGTCCTCACTGAACAACCCTCTGATGTCACTGAGACCAAGGCAAAGACTTGGGAGACATAAAAAAATTACAAACAATTTAATATAACACTGAATGGCTGTTGAGAATATATGTGCGTGTTTTGATTACCTGTATTGTAGTTTTCAAAGTTAGTGTTTGTGTGCTTAGAAATGTAATGCTGTGAGATGCAATGTGCCGGAGAGTGTAATTCCTGTGTGGAAAGGGTTAACTGTATCATGAAGGAAAGTCGTAAATCTCAGTGCGGAAAGTGTTGTATGCTGTGTTGCGTCGTACATCATACGTCATCTCGTCACTGTGGAATGTAAGGAGGTGCCTGATTCTAGATTACAACGAAAAGCCGAACCATGTAGCCGCTTGTTTCTTGTTCTGCTTAGCTTCTAGTGTAAATATTATTTTAATTTTGTGTTTAATAAAATAGCTTTAGTTTAAGATGTGTTTCAGTGCCTTGTATGTGCTGAGATCGTCGCCATTCCATTGACAATGGCGCCATGATATGAAAGGCTATGAACAATCACTTGTCCTGTGTCGGGATATTCCCACTGCAGAAAAGGAAAAAGCACTTGCCTTGCAATCGTGACCCCCGAAACGCCAGTTTTCTTGGCTTTTACGACATCTTCAAAGGAGAAAATATCTCCATTCCCTGGATCACAAGAAAGGGAAGAAAGATGGGCTCAGCAGAAAAACAATCGGGCATATTTTGGTCGTGCCTCAGCCCAACCAATGCACAGGAACAAAGAAAAGGCGAAACGTCAGGAGAAATGCCTCTAGAACATGGCCAAATAGCCCGAAAAAACCCACAAGAACTGAGTGATTCCAGCCATGAAAGCCTTCGACAATACAATATAAACACGGCTTACCAAAAAGAGGCATCGGTCTGGCAATATGGGCACAGTCTGATATGTAGTTCCAGTCTGCTGGCTCACTCATTGGGATTTCTTTTGGCCGTCCGTGAAGCTGAGAGAGTCAGAAGTATCAACTTAGGTCATTTACTGTATATACTCGAGTATAAGCCTAGTTTTTCAGCCTTCTGACTCAACTAAGTTGAGTCAGAAGCATCAACTTAGACCATTTAATTACACTGTTCAACGGAGAAAAAGTTGCGGGCCTGAAAATAGTTGTCCTTTTATGATTTGGGGGTGCTGAAAACGAAAATGACATTTAAAAATGTATATTGGCTCTAGTTTTGATGATATAAGCAATCATGTGATCACGTATGGTTGAAAAAAATGCATGTTGCGACTTACACTATGGAAGATTCTAGAAAGTTGCGGGTCTGAAAATAGCTGTTCTTTTATGATTTTGGGGTGCTGAAAAGGAAAATGACATTTAAAATGTATATCGGCTCTAGTTTTTATGATATAAGCAATCACGTGATCACGTATGGTTGAAAAAATGCATGTTGCGACTTACGCTATGGAAGATTCTAGAACAGTGGTTCTCAACCTGGGGTCCCCAGATGTTTTTGGCCTACAAGTCCCAGAAATCCCAGCCAGTTTATCAGCTGTTAGGATTTCTGGGAGTTGAAGCCCAAAAACATCTGGGGACCCCAGGTTGAGAACCACTGTTCTAGAATACTCTAGAAAGTTTGATGACGCAGTATTAGTGCCGTGTGCAAAAGCCAGAAAGCCCTCTATAAGGCCAGACTTTTGAACGGTGAGGGTCAGTCAGTTGAAGACTGAGACAGTATCGTTAAACATCGTTTTACATTGTTCTTTTTACTGTAGTGATGCCTCCTCGCACGTGTGTAAATAAAGCACTATGGAAAAAAGATATCAAGGCCAATGGACTCCGTCAATGCTGTCAGACTCCTGCTGGAGCATTGGAAGAGGGAATTCTTCCTTGAATACAAAAGAAAAGTCAAGAGAAGCAAACAGGATAAAAACTAAAGTCACGATTAAAGCGACATTTCAACTTTCAGACTTTTCAACTGCATTAGGCCTACTAATATAGTTTCTTGCTGCACAAACATAAACAATAGACCAATTAAATAAATATTTCTCATGTATAAACTATTGGCAATATAATTTGACTAAAATTTAGTAAATATTCACGGTTTATATACATGCAGTAAGGTTAGGCGCATTATCATAATTATTAAAGAATTACCTATTGTGGAGAAAATTGAAATAGCTGTTGCATAAAAACCAGAGCCAATTAACACATTTAATTATTATATTTGAATTCAGCATGTTAAATTTATTAAGAAACGGCACATTTCGTTTCTGTAACTGGGGACTCAGAGCGGCTTACAAGGTATATATTACATATAATATATTAGATTATTAGCAGTACAATATCAGTATTAAACATTGCTATAAATAATAAATATAATAAATATATATAAAAAAATCAATCAATCAATATCAATATATTTATTTATTTATTTATTATTCAAATTTATATGCCGCCACTCCCCTGGGGCTCGGAGCGGCTTACAAGAATGGCTAAAATCGAACACAATTTAAAAATAATTTAAAACAATTTAAAAACAGCAATATCAGAGATCAAAGGCCCCTCGAAACAGGTATGTCTTCCATGCCCTGCGGAAAGCTGATAATTCCTGCAAGGCACGGACTTCAGGTGGCAGAGTGTTCCAGAGTGATGGTGCCACTGCTGTGAAGGCTCTGCGTCTGGTTGCTGTTAGACGCAAGGTCTTGACACTGGGAATTTCCAATAGATCTTGGTCCTCAGAACGGAGGGATCTCTGGGGTTGGTAGGGGGTGAGGTGGTCCTTCAGGTACATCGGCCCCAAACCATGCAAGGCCTTAAAGGTGAGTACCATCACTTTGAAAGTGATCCGGTGCTCAAGTGATCCGGTGCTCAATCACTTTGAAAGTGATCCGGTGCTTACTACCAATGCAGCTGTAGTAAGATTGGGGTTATGTGGCATCTCATCGGAATTCCTGCAAGAAGCCGAGCAGCTGCATTTTGTACCAACTTGAGCTTCTGGATCACCGACAGAGGAAGGCCAATGTAGAGGGCATTACAGTAGTCCAGTCTTGAGATGACCGTGGCCTGGATCACCGTAGCTAGGTCGTCACTGGACAGGTAGGGGGCTAGCCGTCAAGCCTGCCGCAGGTGAAAGAAGGCGGTTCTGCTCACGGCCTCCATTGTCAGCAGAGGGTCCAAAAGGACTCCCAGACTCTTGACCAACGATAACGGGCGTAGCGCCTCGCCATCCAGGGTAGGCAGCTGGATGTCCCCACTGCCCGGTCGACCCAGCCATAGGATCTCCGTCTTTGCCGGATCCACCCTCAACCTGCTGGCACGCAGCCATCCAGTAACGGCCTCGAGGCACTGATGGAAACAATCGGGTAGAGTCCGGTCGGCCTTCCATCTTCAGCACAAGCTGAGTGTCATCAGCATACTGGTAACACTCCAGCCCAAAACCTCAAACCAGCTGAGCAAATATAAATATAAATAAATAAAATTGTAGCTTCCGAACAGTCTTCAAAGGAAACCCCACGTATAGGGCATTGCAGTAGTCTATTCAGGATGTAACCAGAGCGTGGACCACCACGGCCAAGTCCGACTTCCCAAGGTAGGGACGTAACTGGCGCACAAGTTTTAATTGTGCGAAAGTTCCCCTGGCCACCGCCGAGACCTGTTATTCCAGGCTCAGCGATAAATCCAGGATCATTCTGAACCTGAATTTTCAGCGAGAGCGTAGGATAAGAAATAGCAGTAACACCGCTCAGAAGGGGTGGAGAAGAAAGAGCAGTAACACCACTGTAGGCTGAAGCTGGTTTTGACGGCAAACAATGAGATCCCATTGAACTGAAAGGAGGCCCGAGAAAAAAAGAGCGAGGCTACTATACCGTGACCATAGCGGTTCCCCAACGACGGAGACTGGGGATGAGGGTGTGAGCCAGATTCCCCGCCGGGAATATGCCGCTTCTCAGCTTCACTGTTATAGGACCGTTCGACACCTAACAACAAGACAAACGCAATGCAGTGTGACGTGCCAGGAACCAATTTGATGCGTCAAAAAAGCAGAAAAGAGCCCCCTCCCTTTCCCTGGTTGAAGGGGACACAAGTGCAGACAACATCCATCTGCCAAGGAGGATAGAAGAGAGAAGGAGTCCTCTGCCCAGCTGCCCAACATACGTAGTTCATGCCACGGACAATCTGTTCAAATTTGGTGGGATTCAACATTAAGGCACATCCTCCGCCCTGGAAAAAAAAAAGGAGAGACACATGGAAAAGACCGCCTTCTTCCTACTATCCAACAAATCTTGTCAAGACAAAAAACCACCACGATGAGGTCACCAAATTGAATAATCTGCCTGTTATTAAACGGTTGCCCAACCAAAAGACTATTCACTATCCATCATGTTGATTCGTTGCCATAAACATCCAGGAGAATCAAGAATATAGACATATTCCTGATAAGATTTGCATGCAAGACTCTCCCCAACTCAATCTCAATACACATTTTATTATGTACTAGCCGTCCCCTGCCACACATTGCTGTGGCCCACTCTGGTGGTCATAGGTGTTTGTGTGGGAGGTTTGGCCCAATTCCATCGTTGGTGGGGTTCAGAATGCTCTGTGATTGTAGGTAAACTACAAATCCCAGCAACTACAACTCCCAAATGTCAGGATTCTATTTTCCCCAAACTCCACCAGTGTTCACATTTGGGCATCCTGAGTATTTGTGCCAAGTTTGGTCCAGATCCATCATTGTTTGAGTCCACAGTGCTCTCCGGTAAACTACAACTCCAAAACCAAAGGACTGCCCACCAAACCCTTCCAGTATTTTCTGTTGGTCATGGGAGAACTGTGTGGCAAGTTTGGTTCAATTCCTTTGTTGGTGGGGTTCAGAATGCTCTTTGATTGTAGGTGAACTATAAATCCCAGCAACTACAACTCCCAAATGTCAAGATTCTATTTTCCTCAATCTCCACCAGTGTTCACATTTGGGCATATGGAATATTCTTTTAGAGTTTGGTCTAGAGCCATCATTGTTTGAGTCCACAGTGCTCTCTGGATGTAGGTGAACTATAACTCCCAAACTCAAGGTCAATGCCCACCAAACCCTTCCAGTATTTTCTGTTGGTCATGGGAGTTCTGTGTGCCAGGTTTGGTTCAATTCCATCGTTGGTGGAATTCAGAATGCTCTTTGATTATAGGTGAACTATAAATCCCAGCAACAACAACTCCCACATGACAAAATCATAATTTTTTGAGTGATGGTCACTCCTTGTGCTGTGTGATGTTTTGTTGCCAAATTTGGTGTGATTTCGTTCATTGGTTCTTTTGTTTTTAAGGTACTCATTATGCAAAGAGCATTTATATATATATATATATAGATAGATAGATAGATAGATAGATAGATAGATAATAATAATTATTAATAATAATAATATCTGCCAACTGCAAAACGCCACCTTACTGGGATTTGCACACATTATTTGCTGATACATCACATTATTATTATTAAGGGGTCGCGGCATCAGGAAGTTTGAGAACCACCATCCCAAGGGGTCAATTCTGCCACATTCCCCTTTCTTGAGTTGCAGTTTTCTACCTTCACATAAGGGAAGAAAACAAACCACTGGGCATCCCCCAAGGAGCTATAGAGACACATCCTTGCCATACCGTGTCAAAAAACGTGGAATCTGCAGCGTCAATGTCCAAGAAATCCACTTCGATCCTGTCATTGAGGAATTCTGCGCATTTGACCATGTGGTCTGGAGCCGCTCCTTTTAACTGCAGGGCCAAGAGAGGGAAACTCATAGAACAACCAGCCCACACAAGCAAATCATGCAACCCCAAACAATAATCCTGTCATAATAATAATAATAATAATTATAATAATTATTACTATTATTATTATTATTTATACCCCGCCACCATCTCCCCAATGGGGACGCGGGGCGGCTTCTCACTCTTATGCAGCGTTGCCTGAACTGACCTTAAGCTAAACGACTTGTTGTTTAATAGACACCCATGAAATCGTTCCGTTTCCCATGAATTTCTTTCACACCTGAAGGGCTGAAGTTTGCCCATGCCTGTTCTAACCTGTTCTAACCTGAGCTCATCCAAAAGGCTCTTTTGGGTGAGCCTCAAGACACCCATGATTTTGAACCATGTGCTCTTGAAAAGGAGTACATGAACGGAAACACAGAAAACTTCCAGGATACAGTAAATCCAAAACCAAAGCTTGACTTGAACTAGGAACAAGAGAACTCGGGCTTAACATCTCACTCTTATGCAGCGTTGCCTGAACTGACCTTAAGCTGAACGACTTGTTGTTTAATAGACACCCATGACATTCTTCAGTTTCCCATGAGTTTCTTTCACACCTGAAGGGCTGAAGTTTGTCCATGCCTGTTCTAACCTGTTCTAACCTGAGCTCATCCAAAATTTATTTATTTATTATTTATTTATTTACTTATATACCGCTGTTCTCAGCCCGAAGGCGACTCACAGCAGTTCGCAACAAATAAGAACAGCAAAAATTCAACGCTACAGTGTAAAAACAGTTAACAACCTAACATATTACATAATTAATAAACAATTACTACAATACCCATTCACTATTCACTATCGTCTCATCATCAAAAACATGATCCAGATTTCTCATCCATTATTCCATTCCAATGTTCATTAACCAATCATTGCACTAATTATTCGAACGCCCGCTCAAACAGCCAGGTCTTCACTTTCCTGAGGAATAGCATTAGAGATGGTGCTAGTCTAATGTCCGTAGGAAGGGCGTTCCACAGCCGAGGAGCCACCACCGAGAAGGCCCTATCTCTCGTCCCTGCCAGCCGTGCTTGAGAAGCAGGCGGGATCGAGAGCAGGGTCTCCCCGGAAGATCTCAAAGTCCTGGTGGGTTCATAGGCAGAGATGCAGTCGGATAGGTAGCTTGGGCCGGAACCGTTTAGGGCTTTAAAGGCCAACGCTAGCATTTTGAATTGAGCCCGGTAGCATATCGGTAGCCAGTGGAGTTGGCGCAACAGGGGGGTTGTATGCTCCCTGCGCTCCGCTCCTGTTAAAATCATGGCTGCCAAGCGTTGGACTAGTTGGAGCTTCTGAGCCATCTTCAAAGGCAACCCCACGTAGAGAGCGTTGCAGTAGTCTAAACGGGATGTAACCAGAGCGTGGACTACCATGGCCAAGTCAGACTTCCCAAGGTACGGGCGCAGCTGGCGCACAAGTTTTAACTGTGCGAATGTTCCCCTGGTCACCGCTGAAACCTGAGGTTCCAGGCTCAGCGATGAGTCCAGGATTACACCCAAGCTGCGAACCTGCGTCTTCGGGGGAGTGCGACCCCATCCAACACAGGCTGTAACCACAGAAAACTTCCAGGATACAGTAAATTTATTTCGGTTACTTCTACCCAGCCCTTCTCACCCCGGAGGGGACTCAGGGCGGCTTACAAAGGCACAATTCGATGCCGACATCACAAAACAGTAGTATAAAACAATCTAGCAGCAATTAACAGTTAAGAAACAGTTTCTGCATATAACAATAAAACCAATAAAGCCGATAAAACCACTAAAAACCAATCCACTAAAAACCAATCCAAAACCAAAGCTTGACTTGAACTAGGAACAAGAGAACTCGGGCTTAACATCTCACTCTTATGCAGCGTTGCCTGAACTGACCTTAAGCTAAAGGACTTCTTGCTTAATAGACACCCATGAAATCGTTCCGTTTCCTGTGAATTTCTTTCACAATTTATGCCACACCTGGAGGGCGAAGTTTGCCCATGCCTGTTCTAACCTGAGCGAAGCCTCTTTTGGATGAGCTCAAGACACCCATGATTTTGAATTGTATGTACTTGAGCAGGAGTACATGAACAGAAACACAGAAAACTTCCAGGATACAGTAAATCTAAAATCAAAGCTAGGAACAAGCAAACTCAAATGCATCTGCAACAAGATAGGAAGATGATTTTGCTATGGATTTCTAATCTTTGGGCAACTGGATCCAAACTGAAAAAAAAAATCACCTGGCAGGCCTAGGAGCATTAGAATGCCGGAAAATGCGGAAGCAGTAAGAACAGAAAAGGCAGTACTAAGGAATCATCGTCCTACTTCCCTTCAACAGAGCCAGGTTAACAACCAAAGACAGGAACAAGCTCTCGATCGGCTGCCCAGAGCTAGAAAAAAACCCAACGTGCAAAGTATCCCCTATCCCGCCCCCACGCATATCCCAAAACCCCAAGTAACCTCAAATAGTTTTGTTTTCCTTCATCTGGAACTCATTACCTGGAGAGATTAGGAAAGCCCCTACCCTGGAAACCTTTAAAAAGGACCTTAAAACCTGGATCTTCCGCTGCGCCCTTGGTGAGTAGGTATACAACCTCATAGTATTGCTCAGCCTCAATTTTTTTGTCCTTGGCATTACCTGGAGAGATTAGGAAAGACCCTACCCTAGAAACCTTAAAAAAGAACCTTAAAACCTGGATCTTCCACTGCGCCTTTGGTGAGTAGGTATACAACCTCATACTATTGCTCAGCCTCAACGTTTTTGTCCTTGGCATTACCTGGAGAAATTAGGAGAGCCCCTACCCTAGAAACCTTTAAAAAGGACCTTAAAACCTGGACCTTCCGCTGCGCCTCTGGTGAGTAGGTATACAACCTCATACTATTGCTCAGCCTCAACGTTTTTGTCCTTGGCATTACCTGGAGAGATTAGGAAAGCCCCTACCCTAGAAACCTTTAAAAAGGACCTTAAAACCTGGATCTTCCGCTGCGCCTTTGGTGAGTAGGTATACAACCTCATACTATTGCTCAGCCTCAATGTTTTTGTCCTTGGCATTACCTGGAGAGATTAGGAAAGCTCCTACCCTAGAAACCTTAAAAAAGGACCTTAAAACCTGGATCTTCCGCTGCGCCTTTGGTGAGTAGGTATACAACCTCACACTATTGCTCAGCCTCAACGTTTTTGTCCTTGGCATTTCCTGGAGAGATTAGGAAAGCCCCTACCCTAGAAACCTTTAAAAAGGACCTTAAAACCTGGATCCGCTGCACCTTTGGTGAGTAGGTATACAACCTCATACTATTGCTCAGCCTCAACGTTTTTGTCCTTGGCATTTCCTGGAGAGATTAGGAAAGCCCCTACCCTAGAAACCTTTAAAAAGGACCTTAAAACCTGGATCCGCTGCACCTTTGGTGAGTAGGTATACAACCTCATACTATTGCTCAGCCTCAACGTTTTTGTCCAATTTGTTTCATAAAGATCAAGTAGACAGAACATATTGTAAAGAACAAAAATAACTTTCTGGCCTTGCATCGCACATTTTAGTGCAAATATTAAGACACAAATAGTGTTCAATTCAGCAAGTATACGTCCCCGTCCCCCCTCATTTTAATGAACCCCCCCTCCGCAAATAACCTGCTTCTCCTTTTATCTAACCCGTTTTTTTAATCAGTCACCATTTTGAAAAGGTGGGAGTATCAAGGCTCGGGTTCTAGAGCTACCTGGATGCCAAAAAAGTCTTCTGATTCGTGGCGGTGAAAGGATTCTCCGAAGTTCTCCAACTGCCACCCGTACAAGTTGTGGGGGAGAGGAAGACTGCTGCAGGTGATGTCTGCTCCGAACCGCTTGCAAATCCTCCGGAAGGGGACGTTGCCCCACTGAAATCCAAGAGAAGGGAGAGGACTGTGGACAAATTGAACCGCCAGAGTAAGAACATGGCAAGACTCTTGGTTTGTTTTTTTTATCAAAAGGATGTTTCGTTTCCACTCGAGAGAGCAAATAAAGCAGCCGCCTACCTTTCCTAAAGGGGATAAATAAATCTTCCCGAGAACATCCAGCTGTGAAGACAGAGAAAAGATGGTGTGAGAACGAAATAAGGCACCAAAAGCAAAACAAGATTCTACATTTTTGGACCAATGTTTTGAAGGAAGCATTTATTTCTCCTGCTATGAGTGAAGAGAGAGGGGGCCAGGGGACAGTTCCACCTTGTCTCCTGCATATGTCATCAGTTGGGGACCCCTCTCCCCAGCACCAACCGCCGCTATGGGCCAGAGTGAAGAGAGAGGGGGCCAGGGGACAGTTACATCTTGTCTCCTGCATATGTCATCAGCTGGGGACCCCCTCTTCCCAGCACCAACTGCCACTCAGGGCCAGAGTGAAGAGAGAGGGGGCCAGGGGACAGTTCCATCTTGTCTCCTGCATATGTCATCAGTTGGGGACCCCCTCTTCCCAGCACCAACTGCCGCTCTGGGCCAGAGTGAAGAGAGAGGGGGCTAGGGGACAGTTCCATCTTGTCTACTGCATATGTCATCAGCTGGGGACCCCTCCCCCAGCACCAACTGCTGCTCTGGGTCAGAGTGGAGAGAGAGGGGGCCAGGGGACAGTTCCATCTTGTCTCCTGCATATGTCATCATTTGGGTCCCCTCCCCCCAGCACCAACTGCTGCTCTGGGCCAGAGTGACGAGAGAGGGGGGCAGCGGACAGTTCCTTCTTGTCTCCTGCTTATGTCATAGCTGGGGACCCCTCTCCCCAGCACCAACCACCGCTGTGTGCCAGAGTGAAGAGAGAGGGGGCCAGGGGATAGTTCCATCTTGTCTCTTGCATATGTCATCAGCTGGGAACCTCTCCCCCCAGCACCAATTGCCGCTCTGGGCTAGAGTGACGAGAGAGGGGGGCAGTGGACAGCTCCATCTTGTCTCCTGCAGATGTCATCAGCTGGGAACCCCTCTCCTGCAGCACCAACTGTTACTCTGGGCCAGAGTGAAGAGAGGGGACCAGGGGACAGTTCCACCTTGTCTCCTGTGCTATGCTAATCATATAATTAATATAATATAATTAATATAATATATTGTATATACATATAATATTATAATATTATAATGTAATGCAATATAATATTAATAATAATATGACATAATTATATATTATATTACATGTAAAATTACTAATAATATTACAATATAGTGGTATAGTGCAATATAGTAATATTTAATACTGATATTGTACTATGCTAATAATATAATATATTGAATTGAGTCCCCTTTCGGGGTGAGAAGGGTGGCGTATAAATTTCGTAAATAAATATTAAGAAGGGCAACATTCTCCCTTCTCTTCTTCCTTCTTTGCAAGTTAATGGAGTGCAAGCCACTTTTGCAGTAGCTGAAGGAAGTAATTACAAAAGGAGGGAAGTGGGATGCGTGTAGAATCCGGGACACTTAAATGCTACAGGAAAAGAGTGAGAATGCAAGAGAGTAATTGCAATTTTCCCTGCCAAATCAGTATGGATTCTGCATTGGTTAGGTACCGTACATACTCGAGTATAAGCCGACCCAAATATAAGCCGAGGCACCTAATTTTACCACAAAAAACTGAGAAAACGGATTGACTTGAGGATAACGGGATTGTGGCCGCTTGAGAGGGGGACCGGTGCTGGCGGCCTGCTTCGCGGCCTTGCTTTGTGGCCTTGCTTTGCGGCCTTGCTTTGCAGCCTTGCCTGGCTGCCGCCCCGCCGCTGCTGGCTCTGGTGGATGCCTGAGGGGCCTGCAGTGCTTGCGCGGCCTGTGCTGCAGTCGGGGCTGCTGGGGCCGCCATTGTTGCCGATGCGAGCTTGCTCTTCGGCCCTTCCCAGCTGACGCCCCGCTGTTTCCAGCTGACAGCCTGCTATTCCGGCGCTCTAGCGCCCTGTGATCCTCAGCGCCTCCAGACGCAAGTGCCCCCTCGGCGCTCCAGCTCCAGCTCCAGCCCAGCAGCCGCTGCTACCGTCTGGCCTAGCGTTCAACGGAGCATTCCATCGCGGAGCCTTCCATCGCGCCGGCCGGCGCGCCGGCCTCCAGCGCGCTTGCCTCCTGTTGCCTTTCCGCTGTCCTCCCGGCGCTCCAGCTCCAGCCCAGCGGCTGGCTGCCGTCCGGCCTAGTGCTCAGCTGAGCTTTTCCACCGCGGCGGCCTCTGGTGTGCCGGCCTCCAGCGCTCCAGCTCCCCTCGCCCTCCCGGGATTAATCTGCCGCCATCGCACGAGATTCCATCACCTCGTCTGGTAACCTTCAATTCCGGAAGATTGTGTTGACCACCTTTTGGCCTGATTATTGCCATCTTCTGGCATCTCGTGGTTTCCAATTTTGGATAGATTGTATTGACCATCGTTTAATCCGTCTGTGTTGACCTCCTTTAACTATGTGGACCACCTCTTTTGATTGTGCTGACCATCTTCATCTGTGTTGACCTCTTTTGACTGTGCTGTCCATCTCTGACTGTGCTGACCACCGTTTTTGACTGTGCTGAACATCTTCACTGTGTTTGTGCGGAGCACCCCATCAGTGCTAACTCTAGAAGGCCTGTGCTGTCCAATTTGTCACCTGATACATTTTTTGGAACAGCAATCTAAACTCCGAGAGGCGGGGGGGCTCTTAACCACAGTAATAACAACAACTATACTTAATGACTGAACGGAGAATTTAAGAACTAATTGTTGCACCGTTAGTAAGTATAGTGGACAAATATCCTGTGTGATTCTAGCACTTTACTCTACCAGCACCTTAACTTACTACCTCAGTGATCCATTAGCTTTACTGAGCCTTAGCACTTTAATCGACTCAACCGTCTAGCACTGAATTCAGTCCTCCGTGACGCACCTTATTTGAGCACTTTAGAGCCAACTGACCAAGCTATTGCACTTTAAATATCTATACCATCGTGTATGCTGATACAATTACCTATCTGCACTTTAAGAATCCTAGTGAAACTCCTCCGACAGTGTTAACAGCCACCACTCATGTCACCACCCATTCCCTGGCATTTGTTAATCTTGTTGCTAATTGTTTATGGTAGAGAGAGGGAATGGAGCAGATCAGAAAGACCTGAGTCTAACATAATAGGAGTTGGAAATGAACTATGGATTGATACGATGGCTGCCAAATGCGTCATGGAGGAGGGAGAGGGTTCCGTTAACCGGGGAGCCCCCATAGTGGTGGGGAGGGGGAGATACGGGAAAGGGAGACCTTTAATTCGGCCCAGGGAATGTGGAACAACGTTAGTAATCCCAAATCAGTCTCCTGATATGGTAAGTCGGTGTAACCAGGATGGCGGTCCCTCCGAATTGAAAGTGGTGCTGTTGAACGCCAGATCTGTCAACGGTAAAACAACTTTCATCCAGGATTTAATCCTGGATGAACGGGCAGATCTGGCGTGCATCACAGAGACCTGGTTGGACGAAGCGGGAGGTGTAAATTTAACCCAGCTTTGCCCACCAGGTTTCTCTGTGCAGCACCAACCGAGATCCGGAGGGCGGGGAGGCGGGGGTGCAGTGGTCTATAGAGATTCCATTCTTCTGACCAGGGGCCCCATCCCGCAGTCAACAAATTTTGAATGCGTCCACCTGAGGGTGGGTGACCGGGACAGATTAGGGATTCTGTTAGTGTACCGTCCACCTCGCTGCACTACAGTCTCCCTGCCTGAGCTAGCGGGGGTGGTCTCAGACCTGGCATTGGAGTCCCAACGGCTGCTTGTGCTGGGGGACTTCAATGTCCACGCCGAGACGACCCTCACAGTGCCTTGTATCTCTCCCTCTGACTTTACTCTAATCTGCCCTTCCTTCGCTGCTCTCCCCTATCCTCACCTTACTATTCTTCGATCATCTACCTTCATGGACTCATCTGCTTATTTTCTCCATCTGTAACTGGACTTCTAACCTTATCGGGAGCGGCTCAGGACTTCATGTCTACCATGGCAACCATGGGGCTGTCCCAACAAGTATCTGGCCCCACCCACAGTGCTGGACATACATTGGACTTGGTTTTCTGCCAGGGATGGGAGGAAGGTGGCAGTGTTGAGGAGTTATCCATCTCTCCGTTGCCATGGACCGACCACCACCTGGTCAGCTTTAGACTCACTGCACCCCCTAACCTCCGCAGAGGTGGAGGACCCATTAAGCTGGTCTGCCCCAGGAGGCTTATGGATCCGGATGGATTCCTGACGGCTCTTGGGGAATTTCCCGCCGCCTCGGTTGGTGATCCTGTTGATGCCCTGGTCGCTCTCTGGAATGGGGAGATGGCTAGGGCAATAGACACGATCGCTCCAGAACGTCCCCTCTCAAGTAGCCGAGCTAAACCAGCTCCTTGGTTCACCGAGGAGCTGGCAGCGTTGAAGCGAACGAAGAGGGAACTAGAGAGCGTGTGGCGTTCGGATCCGAGCGAGCCAAATCGAACACGGTTTGTGTCCTTTTTAAGGGCAGATGCCGCGGCAATAAAAGCCGCAAAGAAAACTTTCTTTGCGGCCACTATTGCGTCTGCAAAGAACCGTCCGGCTGAACTGTTCCGAGTTGTCAGAGGCCTATTAAAACCCACCACTCAGGATGGGTGCCCTGATGACTCGGCAGCTCGCTGCGAAGCTTTTGCTCAGTTCTTCGCAGACAAAGTCGCTTTGATCCGCTCTGGACTGGATACCATATTAACGGCAGTATCTGAGGATGTAACACGAGCATCTGCTTGTCCGGTTTTGATGGATTCATTTCAATTGGTTCAATCCGAGGATGTGGACAAGGTGCTTGGAGGAATGAGAGCTACCACATGCATCCTAGACCCCTGCCCATCCTGGCTTCTAAAGGAGGCCAGAGGGGGATTGGCCGAGTGGGTGAAGGTGGTGGTTAATGCCTCCCTTCGGGAAGGCAAAATTCCAGCCAGCTTAAAGCAAGCTGTGATAAAACTGCTGTTGAAAAAACCATCACTGGACCCCACTCAATTCGTCAACTATCGGCCTGTTTCCAATCTCCCCTTTTTGGGCAAAGTCTTGGAACGTGTGGTGGCCTCACAACTCCAGGTATTCTTGGTAGACACGGATTATCTGGATCCGGCACAGTCTGGCTTTAGGCCGGGGCATGGTACCGAGACAGCCTTGGTCGCCTTAGTGGATGATCTGCGTCGGGAGCTCGACAGGGGGAGTGTGTCCCTGTTGGTGCTGCTCGACCTCTCAGCGGCCTTCGATACCGTTGACCACGGTATCCTTCTGGGACGCCTCGCGGGGATGGGTCTTGGAGGTACTGTTCTGCAGTGGCTCTGCTCATTCCTCGAGGGTCGGTCTCAGAAGGTGTTACTGGGAGACTCCTGTTCAACCCCACAACCTTTGTCTTGTGGGGTTCCTCAGGGTTCAATACTGTCTCCCATGTTGTTTAACATCTACATGAAGCCTCTGGGTGAGATCATCCGGAGTTTCGGAGTGCGATGTCATCTGTACGCAGATGATGTCCAACTCTGTCACTCCTTCCCACCTTCTACTAAGGAGGCTGTCGAGGTCCTGAACCGGTGCTTGGCCGCTGTGACGGTCTGGATGGGGGCGAACAAATTGAAATTGAATCCAGACAAGACAGAGGTACTCCTGGTTAGTCGCAAGGCCGAACAGGGTATAGGGTTACAGCCTGTGTTAGACGGGGTCGCACTCCCCCTGAAGACGCAGGTTCGCAGTTTGGGTGTGATCCTGGACTCATCGCTGAGCCTGGAACCCCAGGTTTCGGCGGTGACCAGGGGAGCATTCGCACAGTAAAACTTGTGCGCCAACTGCGACCGTACCTTGGGAAGTCTGACTTGGCCACGGTAGTCCACGCTCTGGTTACATCCCGTCTTGACTACTGCAACGCTCTCTACGTGGGGTTGCCTTTGAAGGCGGCTCGGAAGCTCCAATTAGTCCAACGGGCGGCAGCCATGATACTAACAGGAGCGGGGCGCAGGGAGCATACAACTCCTCTGCTGTACCAGCTCCACTGGCTGCCGATTTGATACCGGGCTCAATTCAAAGTGCTGGCATTGGCCTTTAAAGCCCTAAACGGTTCTGGCTCAACTATCCGAACGTATCTCGGCCTATCAGCCCACCAGGACCCTAAGATCTTCTGGGGAGGCCCTGCTCTCTATCCCGCCTGCTTCACAGGTGCGGCTGGCGGGGACGAGAGACAGGGCCTTTTCTGTGGTGGCCCCTCGGCTTTGGAACGCCCTCCCCATAGAGGTACGATCAGCCCCCTCGCTGATGGTGTTTCGAAAAAGATTGAAGACATGGATGTTTGAACAAGCATTCGGTTAACCCGGTGCAATGAATTCTGATGATTAAAGGATTGGTAATCATGGACGATGAGATTGGATTGCGATTTTAGTTACGAGATGCAATTGGATTGTTATTGGTGGCCCAATAATTTGTATTGTATATGTGTTTTTTATGCTTTTAAATTGAATATTGTGATTTTTGTAGTGTTGTAAACCGCATTGAGTCGCCGATTTAGGCTGAGAAATAGCGGTATACAAGCGCAGTAATAAATAAATAAATAAATAAATAAATAAATAAATAAATAAATAAGCGGAGGGTGGAAAATGCAGCAAAATAAAAATAGATACCAATTAAATTACATTAATTGAGTAATCAGTAGGTTATATATTTTTGAATATTTACAAAAATTGTAATTTAAGATAAGGCTGTCCCACTCTGATTAAATGATTATTTACCTTCTTTAATGTAAATGTGCTTACGTATCCTTCCAATAATAATAGAGTAACATAATAAATGTAATAACAATAATAAAAAGAGTAAAATAATGAATATAGCAATAGCAACAATTATACAGTAAAATAATAAATGTATAATAATAGAGTAAAATGATAAATGTGATAATAATAAATAGAATAAAATAATAAATTAAATAATAATAACAGAGGAAATTATTAATAACCTTGACTCGAGTATAAACCGAGGGGGACTTTTTCAGCCTAAAAGAAGGGTTGAAAAACTAGGCTTATACTCGTGTATATATAGTATATTTGAACCTTTGGTGGAAAAGTCCATTACAAAACAAATTATGGCTGGTTGGATTACTATTACTATTACTATTGAATTCTTCTTTGGCGATTTCTCCCTTTTTCCACTTCTTGTGCATGTCTCTTTTGTGTTTTAGCACAGTTAGAAGTTCTTTGGACATCCAAAGAACCTTTCTGCCTGTGATGAGAGTGGTGTGCGAATACATACAGGTGAGGACCAAACGGTCTGCCCCATTTCCCATCCTCCATACCTTTTTTTTCTCGCAGGGCCTCAGCCTTATAAGGTCCTCATCTGTCAGGACACCGACTCTTTTCGGAGGACCAGCCAGCGAGGGCAAACTCTTGGGGGGAATTAACGGGGGGATTTTTGGTGGCAAATGGGATTTGAAATCAAGAAGACTGGGTATTCGCATCGCCATTTCAGCCTTGACAAGGCATTGGAGGTAGTCGTGAGACTTGCGAAAGGGAAACGCCTTCAACACTGCGGCCGCCTTATCCAGATGGTTCTTCACAGTTGGGTTCCCCTTGTGTACTATCCACAGCTCTTCGTTGACCAGGTTCTGGAAGTCCGGTCCCAAATGGGCCCCACCAAAGCGGCAGGCGATCCCATATCGGCACTTGCCGAACAGCGAGAAGAGAATGCAGCAGTCTCCAATGTCCGGCGGCTTGGTGGCAACGTATTTCTGGCGATCGTGCTGCCAGGGACACTCGGAGCCGAAAAAACACTTCTCACCCTTAAACGAGAGGAAGATGCCGTGAGGTCACATCCACCAATCCCACCACCGTCTACAATCTATATAAATAAAAATGTAATGTTCGTTTGTGGGATTAAGATAACTTATAAACCACCAGACGAATTGACACGAAATTTGGACACAATACATCTAACAGTCCAACGAGTGTCCATCACCCCTAAAAAAACACACACACACAACCCCAGTGGAACAGACTTAAAAAAACCCCAAAATACACATTATATGCATATACACACACTCATACACATGCACACATACACACACATGTATATATATGTATGCACACACACACATACAAATACATATACACATGCACACATACATATTACATATGCACATACATACACACATATACACAATATGCATGTACATATACGAATACACAAATACACTAATATATACACACATATGTACACATGCACGCACATATACATATACACGTACATACACACATACACACAAAAATATGCATATAGACAAGCACACACATATATACAATATGCATGTACACATGAACACACACAAATACACAAATATATACACACACATATATACATACATACACATACACGCACATATACATATACATATACACACATACACATGTACACACAAATATCCATATAGATAAGCACACACATGCACAATATGCATGTACACATATAAACACACAAATACACACACACACAAACACACATGTATACACAAATATATATACACACACAAAACACATACACAGACATTTGGGAGTTGTAGTTCCTGGGATTTATAGTTCACTTTCAATCGAAAATCATTCTGAACCCACGTTTGGTTCAATGATGGAATTGAACCAAACGTGGCACACAGGACTCCTTTGACCAACAGAAAATACTGGAAGGGTTTGGTGGGCATTGACCTTGAGTTTGGGAGTTGTAGTTCACCTACATCCAGAGACTACCGTGGACTCAAACAATGATGAATCTGGACCAAACTTGGCACAAATATTCCATATGCCCAAATATGATCACAAATGGAGTTTGAGGGAAACAGAGCTTGACATTTGGGAGTTGTAGTTAATGGGAGTTATGGTTCATCTACAATCAAAGAGCATTCTGAACCATAACATTATTTTTGTTGCTACTTCATAACTGTAATTTTGCTGCTGTTATGAATTCTAATGTAAATATCTGATATTCAGGATGGATTTTCATGCACTGAACCAAATTTGGCACAAATACCCAATACACCCAAATTTGAATACTGGTGGGGTTGAGGGAGATTGATTTTATCATTTAGGAGTTATAGTTGCTGGGCTATATTAGGGTTCACCTACAATCAAAGACCATTCTGAATTCCGCCAAGATTGAGGGAAATATGTCAGGATTAATTTAGTTATGTATGTGTTTTAAATGTATTTACAAGATGGATTCCACTGTGTATTCGAAATGCTGTGCAGAATGTTCATACGATGAGGCTGTGATTATGTGACCTTGAGAGAAGTAAGATAAGGTTTGCTCTTGCTGGGAACAGAAGGAAGTAACTAGTCTCAGCAAGAAGAGATAAGCAGATGTTGAGAAGACTTTCGTTTTGACTAGTTCCTGAATTGTAGCTCGCTGTAGTAAGACGTGTCTATTGAACGTGCTTAGTAAACTTAGTTTCTTTTGTAACTCAAAGCCTGCAGAGTCCTTATTTTGCAACACAGTGTCTGCTGATCTAGCATTCCTTCTCCTGTGCACCGCCAAACTCTGACAAAATAGGCCTTGACATTTACTGAGATTCATAGTTCACCTACAATTGGCCCAAACTTTCCACACAGAACCCCCCTGACCAACAGAAAATACTGTGTTTTCTGATGGTCTTTGGTGACCCCTCTGATATCCCCCCTCGACCCCCCCCAGGGGTCCCAACCCCCAGGTTGAGAACCACCGCCTTATACAAGCAAAAACATCAAGCAAAAAGTGGGTGCTAGAAACAATATCATACGTAAGCTGACTGGCACAACCTGGGGATCACAACCAGATACAGTGAAGACGTCTGCCCTTGCGCTATGCTACTCTGCTGCTGAGTACGCATGCCCAGTGTGGAACATATCTCACCACACTAAAACAGTGGATGTGGCTCTTAGTGAGACATGCTGCATTATCACAGGGGGTCTGTGCCCTACACAACTAGAGAAATTACACAGTTTAGCCAGTATTGCACCACCTGACATCCGCCGGGAAGTAGCAGCCAATAGTGAAAGGACCAAGGCAGAGACATCTCCAGCCCATCCCTTGTTTGGGCATCAGCCAGCACGCCAAAGACTTAAATCAAGAAATAGTTTTCTAAGACCTACAGAGACACTCGCTGGAACACCTCAGCAAGTGAGAGTTCAAAAGTGGCAGGCTCAAACCCAGCGCCTCAATCCATGGCTGATACCAGATGAGAGACTCCCCCCTGGGCACACAGAAGACTGGGCGACTTGGAAGGCGCTGAACAGACTGCGCTCTGGCACCACGAGATGCAGAGCCAATCTTAAGAAATGGGGCCACAAAGTTGAATCCACGACATGCGAGTGTGGAGAAGAGCAAACCGCTGACCACCTGCTGCAATGCACCCTGAGCCCTGCCACATGCACGATGGAGGACCTTCTTGCGGCAACACCAGAGGCACTCCAAGTGACCAGATACTGGTCAAAGGACATTTAATCAGCTACCAAGTTTGCAAAATGTGTGTGTGTTTTTTATCTGTTGGTTTGCTTTGTTCTGTTAGAAATGTGGTACAGTGTTCTGGTTGCGGATGACATGATAAATAAATAAATACAATAGGCACAACAAACAGGATTGCAAGACAAGCATATCCCCCTTTTTTCCTAATGGCGTGACTACAAGTCATGGCAAAAAACCCCAAAAAAAACCCCTATTATGGAGATTTCATCACAAGTTTTGTCGCCTTCCTCTGAGGCTGACTTGGCCAAGGCTGTGGTTAAGCGCCGATTAAAACCAACTCTAAGGATCAGAGCCTGACGTTCAAACATTGATATAAGAACAATGTTTTGCTTCTTGGCCACTCATCTGTTTGTTTGGACTACTTCTGGTACCTTTCGGAAGGGAAAGCGGGAGGGAAAAGTTTCAAAACGATGCCGGGTGATTCATCCGTGCAAACTTTACCGTGAAGCAGACATCGCCCAACTGGGTCACCTTCTTATTAAGACTAACTGCATATCTCTTGCTTGTTTCCGGCTGGGTGGAAGATAACTTCAATGGAGGTGCTCCTGGCTCCAAGCTCTTGGGTACATCTGCCTCTGTAGAGAATCTCCTGGAAGAGAAGAGGGTTAGAATCTTCGAGTTGGAAGGGAGCCCCAAGGGCCATCCAGTCCGACCCCATTCTGCCAAGCAGGAAGACACAATCAAAGCACCCCTGGCAGGTGGCCATCCAACCTAAGCTTAAAAATCCCTAGAAGAGGAAGCTCCATCACTCAAATCCTGGTCCTGAATACCTCTTACTGTCAGGAAGTTCTTCCTAATGTTTAGGTGTGCTGCTTGTTGCAGAAAAAACGAAATGCAAAGAGACAGAATGGGGGACAATGATGCCTGGCTCGAGAGCAGTACATGTGAAAAAGATCTTGGAGTCCTCGTGGACGACAAGTTAAACATGAGCCAACAATGTGATGTGGCGGCAAAAAAAGCCAATGGGATTTTAGCCTGCATCAATAGGAGCATAGTGTCTAGATCTAGGGAAGTAATGTCAGTGTGCATTTCATGTATGACGTATGTTTAAATGTAATTTTATGTAGGAGAATAGTGATTGTAATAGATTTGTATGGCCAGGATGTATGTTTACACGGAAGAGTTAGCAAATGAATCAAGTTGTGAGAATGTGACCCTGAGTTCTTGCTGTGTGAAGAATTAGGGAGTGTCAGAGATAACTCCTTTCCAGCTGCAGTTTGCCTTTAGTGCCTATCTCTTTTGCTTTGTGTTCTTCGCGTCTGTTTCGCTGATGGTGTGTGTTGAATTTATGAACTGCTCAAGTAAAGCTGAAACCTGCTTTTTACCGGTGACTCCAGAGTCCATTATTCTTAGCTTTTGAGATACTTCTGCTAACGCTAACAAGTCATGCTCCCCATGCTCTATTCTGCTTTGGTTAGACCACACCTGGAATATTGTGTCCAATTCTGGGCTCCACAATTCAAGAGAGATATTGACAAGCTGGAATGTGTCCAGAGGAGGGCGACTAAAATGATCAAGGGTCTGGAGAACAAGCCCTATGAGGAGTGGCTTAAGGAGCTGGGCATGTTTAGCCTGAAGAAGAGAAGTCTGAGAGGAGATATGATAGCCTTGGGGCTCCTTTCGAGTTGGAAAGGAGCCCAAAGGCCATTCAGTCCGACCCCATTCTGCCAGGCAGGAAGACACAATCAAAGCACCCTTGGCAGGTGGCCATCTCACCTAAGCTTAAAAATCCCTTAAAAACAGCTAGTATAATTATAATATCATATTATTAGTATTATATTGTATTCTATATATATAAATCTGTTAGGTTGGTTCAACGGGACAGCAAAACTCCACAACCCCCAACGAAACTTAACCAAAATTCCCATGCCCATAACACAACCCACAAGGTACAAACATATCTACTCAAAATGAAAAACAACACAACAACACACTCACAAAACGGCAAAACAACAAAACTAAAAAAACCCAACGAAACTTAACCAAAATTCCCATGCCCATAACACAACCCACAAGGTACAAACATATCTACTCAAAATGAAAAACAACACAACAACACACACACAAAACGGCAAAACAACAAAACTCAAAAAACCCAACGAAACTTAACCAAAATTCCCATGTCCATAACACAACCCACAAGGTACAAACATATCTACTCAAAATGAAAAACAACACAACAACACACACACAAAACGGCAAAAAACAAAACTCAAAAAAACCCCAACGAAACTTAACCAAAATTCCCATGCCCATAACACAACCCACAAGGTACAAACATATCTACTCAAAATGAAAAACAACACAACAACACACTCACAAAACGGCAAAACAACAAAACTCAAACCCCCCAACGAAACTCAACCAAAATTCCCATGCCCATAACACAACCCACAAGGTACAAACATATCTACTCAAAATGAAAAACAACACAACAACACACTCACAAAACGGCAAAACAACAAAACAAAAAAAAAACCAACGAAACTTAACCAAAATTCCCATGCCCATAACACAACCCACAAGGTACAAACATATCTACTCAAAATGAAAAACAACACAACAACACACTCACAAAACGGCAAAAAACAAAACTCAAAAAACCCCAACGAAACTTAACCAAAAATCCCATGCCCATAACACAACCCACAAGGTACAAACATATCTACTCAAAATGAAAAACAACACAACAACACACTCACAAAACGGCAAAACAACAAAATTAAAAAAAACCCAACGAAACTTAACCAAAATTCCCATGCCCATAACACAACCCACAAGGTACAAACATATCTACTCAAAATGAAAAACAACACAACAACACACTCACAAAACGGCAAAACAACAAAACTAAAAAAAAAACCAACGAAACTTAACCAAAATTCCCATGCCCATAACACAACCCACAAGGTACAAACATATCTACTCAAAATGAAAAACAACACAACAACACACTCGCAAAACGGCAAAACAACAAAACTCAACCCCCCACGAAACTTAACCAAAATTCCCATGCCCATAACACAAGCCACAAGGTACAAACATATCTACTCAAAATGAAAAACAACACAACAACACACACACAAAACGGCAAAACAACAAAACTCAAAAACCCCAACGAAACTTAACCAAAATTGCCATGCCCATAACACAACCCACAAGGTACAAACATATCTACTCAAAATGAAAAACAACACAACAACACACTCACAAAATGGCAAAACAACAAAACTCAAAAAAACCCCAACGAAACTTAACCACACACACACAAAACCCCACGCTCCATCACTCCCCCCGCCGCCGCACACACACACACAACCCCACGCTCCATCACTCCCCGCCGCCGCACACACACACGCAACCCCACTCCCCCGCCGCCGCACACACACACGCAACCCCACGCTCCATCACTCCCCCGCCGCCGCACACACACACAACCCCACGCTCCATCACTCCCCCGCCGCCGCACACACACACGCAACCCCACGCTCCATCACTCCCCCCGCCGCACACACACACACAACCCACGCTCCATCACTCCCCCCACCGCCGCACACACACACAACCCCACGCTCCATCACTCCCCCGGCCGCCACACACACACACAACCCCACGCTCCATCACTCCCACCGCCGCACACACACACAACCCCACTCCCCCCGCCGCACACACACACGCAACCCCCCCCCCCGCCGCACACACACACACAACCCCACGCTCCATCACTCCCCCCGCCGCCGCACACACACACACAACCCCACGCTCCATCACTCCCCCGCCGCACACACACACACACAACCCCACGCTCCATCACTCCCCTGCCCCAATCTTACCTCCTTTTACTTCACGCCACCTCCAAACCCCACCCCGCCCCTTCCCGCCCTGTCAAAATCCAGGAAAGACAGGAAGGAAGGAAAGAAGGAAGAAAGAGAAAGGGAGGTAAAGAAAAAGGGGGAAGGAAGGAAAGTTAGAGAAAGAAGGAAGAAGAAAAGGAAAGAAAAGGAAAGATGGAAGGAAAGACAGAAGAGAAAGAAAAAGGGGGAAGGAAGGAAAGAGAGAAGGAAGAAATGAGAGACAGAGGGAGGGAAAGAAAAAGGGGGAAGGAAGGAAGGAGAGAAGGAAAGAAAAAAGGGAATAAAGGAAGGAAAGAGGGAGTGAAGGAAGGGCGAAGATGTAGAGAAAGAGGGAGGGAAGGAAAGAAGGAAAGAGAGAAGGAAGAAAAGAGACCAGAAGAGAAAGAAAAAGGGGGAAGGAAGGAAGGAAGGAAGGAGAGAAGAAAAAAGGGAATGAAGGAAGGAAAGAGGGAGGGAAGGAAGGGGGAAGATGTAGAGAAAGAGGGAGGGAAGAAGGAAAGAGAGAAGAAAAGGAAAAGAAAGAAAAAGGGGGAAGGAAGGAAGGAGAGAAGGAAAGAAAAAAGGGAATGAAGGAAGGAAAGAGGGAGTGAAGGAAGGGGGAAGATGTAGAGAAAGAGGGAGGGAAGGAAAGAAGGAAAGAGAGAAGGAAGAAAAGAGACCAGAAGAGAAAGAAAAAGGGGGAAGGAAGGAAAGAGATAGAGAAGGAAGAGAAGGAAGGAAGGAAGGAAGGAAGGAAGGAAGGAAGGAAGGAAGGAAGGGAGGAAGGAAGGAAGGAAGAGAAGGAGAGAAAGAGGGAAGGTTGGCCACAGCAACACGTGGCGGGTAAAGGTTGTTATTTCTATTATTATTATGATGCTATTGTTCCTATGAGACCCTTTTAGGGGGAATGGGAGAGGTGTCAGGTCCCAGAGGCAATGCATTGCATTATTGTTATTGTTATGATGGTGGTGAAATAAAAGGAAATAAAAAGTGAAAGAAGGAAGCAAACAGGGAGGGAAGAAAGACAAAGGAAGAAAGGGGGAGGGAATGAAGGAAAGAGAGAAGGATGAAACCAAGTAGTGAAAGAAAGAAAGAGGTAGAGAAGGAAGAAAGGAGAGAAAGGGGGAGGAAAAGGGGGAAGGAATAGGTAGGGACCTCTCTTTCATAATAGTCCAGATATCTACCTCAACTTTGATAAGTTTTACTATAGGCCACAGCAACGCGTGGCAGGGCACAGCTAGTACATTATAATATTATAAATTTTATATGTATACTAGCCGTCCCACCTGCCACACGTTGCTGTGGCCCACATGGGGGTTCTGTATGGGAGGTTTGGCCCAATTCTATCGTTGGTGGGGTTCAGAATGCTCTGTGATTGTAGGTGAACTATAAATCCCAGTAACTACAACTCCCAAATGTGAAGATTCTATTTTCCCCAAACTCCACCACTGTTCACATTTGGGCATGTTGTGTATTCGTATAGAGTTTGGTCCAGATCCATCATTGTTTGAGTCCACAGGGATCTCTGGATGTAGGTGAACTACAACTCCCAAACCAAAGGACACTGCCCACCAAACCCTTCCAGTATTTTCTGTTGGTCGTGGGAGAACTGTGTGCCAACTTTAAAAACTGTGGCATAGACACTGAGCACTTACTTACTTACTTAGGCGATCCCTCGTTGGACGAGTAAGATGGTCTTCCTTGATGACTATTTTTGTGGGTTCGTATGTGGCTGTGGAGCCCTATTCTTGATCTGCATCTTCTCCCACAGTGAAGGCATAGGTTTCCAGGTGGAAGGCGGTCTCGGTCGGGGTTGGCTTGATGCGCCTTCCTCCTGGCACGTTTCTCTCTTTCACCCTCCACTTGTGCCTCCTCAAATTCTGCAGCACTGCTGGTCACAACTGACCTCCAGCTGGAGCGCTCAAGGGCCAGGGCTTCCCAGTTCTCAGTGTCTATGCCAGAGATTTTAAGGTTGGCTTTGAGGCCATCTTTAAATCTCTTTTCCTGTCCACCAACGTTCCATTTTCCGTTCTTAAGTTCAGAGTAGAGCAACTGCTTTGGGAGATGGTGGTCAGGCATCCGGACAACGTGACTGGCCCAGCGGAGTAGATGTTGGAGGACCATCGCTTCAATGCTGGTGGTCTTTGCTTCTTCCAGCACACTGACGTTTGTCCGCTTGTCTTCCCAGGAGATTTGCAGGATTTTCCGGAGGCAGGGCTGATGGAATCGTTCCAGGAGTTGCATGTGACGTCTGTAGATAGTCCACGTTTCGCAGGCACATAGCAGGGTTGGGAGGACAATAGCTTTATAAACAAGCACCTTGGTCTCCCTACGGATGTCCCGGTCCTCAAACACTCTGCTTCATTCGGGAAAATGCTGCACTCGCAGAGCTCAGGCGGTGTTGTATTTCGGTGTCGATGTTGACTTTGGTGGAGAGGTGGCTGCCAAGGGAGCAGAAATGGTCAACATTTTCTAGTGTTACACCTTTAAGCTGTATCTCTGGCATTGGAGAGGGGATGGCTGGTGACTGCTGGAACAGAAGCCCTGGGCCTTGAGTGCTCTGACTGGAGGTCAGCTGTGACCAGCAGTGCTGCAGAATTCAAAGAGGCAGCAAAAGGGAGAAACGTGCCAAGAGGAAGCCGCATCAAGTCAACCCTTCCCCATGGAAACTGATGCCCTTCATTGCTGTGATCAAGAATACCTAAAATACAGAGGCTGAGACAGTGGCACCTTTTGCTTTCTGATGGTGTAATTAACCAATCCACACAAAATCCAAATTAGGGCCAGGGTTATGTCTAGATGAGGTGCCTATGAGGCTTCTAAGAGGCTGGAGATGCAAATATCTCCCAATCTGAAAGACTTCTGGGTTGTTGTAGGGTTTTTCGGGCTATATGGCCATGGTCTAGAGGCATTCTCTCCTGACGTTTCGCCTGCATCTATGGCAAGCATCCTCAGAGGTAGTGAGTTCTGTTGGAACTAGGAAAAGGGCTTTATATATCTGTGGAACAAAGATATATAAGGCCTCTTGTCTGCTGGAGCTAGGTGTGAATGTCTCAACTGACCACCTTGATTAGCGTTTAATGGCCTGGCTGTGCCTAGAGCAAACTTTTGTTGAGAGTTGATTAGATGTCCCTGCCTGCTTCCTCTCTGTTGTTGTGCTGTTGCAATTTTAGAGTTTTTTTCATGGTTTCCTCTTTCTGTTTCTGTTGAAATTGTCCACATGCTTGTGGATCTCAATGGCTTTTCTGTGTAGTCTGACATGGTGGTTCTGAGAGTGGTCCAGCATTTCAGAGAGGAAGCAGGCAGGGACATCTAATCACCTCTCAACAAAAGTTTGCTCCAGGCACAGTCAGCCCATTGTATGCTAATCAAGGTGGTCAGTTGAAACATTCACACCTAGCTCCAACAGACAAGAGCCCCTTGTCCCACCCTGGTCATTCCACAGATATATAAACCCATTTTCCTAGTTCCAATAGACCTCACTACCTCTGAGGATGCTGGCCATAGATGCAGGCGAAACGTCAGGAGAAATGCCTCTAGAACATGGCCATATAGCCCGAAAAAACCTACAAAAACCCAGTGATTCTGGCCATGACAATACTTTGAAAGACTTCTGGCCCCCAGCCACATTTTGGGGGAGGAAAGCCACTTCTACTTACTGAGATGCCTTGGGGGGCTCCCCAGAGGCCTCCATTTCCCGGAAGAAGAGGTCTCTTCCCTTCAAATCCTTCCCTTATCCCATCTCCTTCCACTTGGAGGAACAAGACCATAGATTTCGCTGGGCTAGAGGCGCCCCTGGTGTCAGTTCCGGTGCAAACCGGAAATGCAAAAGGTAAACAAAGTCTCAAAGCGGCTTCCCTCAGCTCACGTGCGGCCCAAACCGGAAGTGCGCTCTAGCCGTTGATTGGCCGGAGGGAGGCATGCAAGGGGCGGGGCTTAGGATTTAAAGAGACAGTGCCCCTTTTTAAACTTGGTTCTCTCCTGGCAGGCATGTGGCTATTTCATATTTAATGCTTATTGTACTTAAACCATATTTGTCTTTTCTAATACTATATAAAATAATGCTATGTATTTTTGACATTAATATTGAAATATATACAGAAACCTACAATTTTAATTTCTAATCTATATATGCATAATCTCTATCTGTTACAGAACCCCAGTATGCTGATGATAACATAGTCTGTGCGTATTCAGAAGACCTACAACATCTGTTACAGAACCCCAGTATGATGATGATAACGTAGTCTGTGCACATTCAGAAGACCTACAACATCTGTTATAGAACCCCAGTATGCTGATGATAACATAGTCTGTGCGCATTCAGAAGACCTACAACATCTGTTACAGAACCCCAGTATGCTGATGATAACGTAGTCTGTGCACATTCAGAAGACCTACATCTGTTACAGAACCCCAGTATTTATTTATTTATTTATTTACTTTGCTTATATACCGCTGTATCTCAAGCCCGAAGGCGACTCACAGCGGTTCACAAACAGTAGAAACAGTAGAAACAGCAGTGGTTCCATACAACATATAACAATTGACTTAACACATTATCCATAAATTACCAATAAGCAATTACAATGCACAATTATTACAAAAAACAACCGTACCCAATCTTCTCATCATCCAAGCGTAGTCCAGGTTCGTCGTCCATTGTTCCATTCCTATGTTCCATTACCAGATTGCACTAAATATGATGATGATAACGTAGTCTGTGCACATTCAGAAGACCTACATCTGTTATAGAACCCCAGTATGCTGATGATAATGTAGTCTGTGCGCATTCAGAAGACCTACAACATCTGTTATAGAACCCCAGTATGCTCATGATAACGTAGTCTGTGCGCATTCAGAAGACCTACAACATCTGTTATAGAACCCCAGTATGCTGATGATAACATAGTCTGTGCGCATTCAGAAGACTTACAACATCTGTTATAGAACCCCGGTATGCTCATGATAACGTAGTCTGTGCACATTCAGAAGACCTACAACATCTGTTACAGAACCCCGGTATGCTCATGATAACGTAGTCTGTGCACATTCAGAAGACCTACAACATCTGTTATAGAACCCCAGTATGTTGATGATAATGTAGTGTGTGCGCATTCAGAAGACCTACAACATCTGTTATAGAACCCCAGTATGCTCATGATAACGTAGTCTGTGCGCATTCAGAAGACCTACATCTGTTATAGAACCCCAGTATGCTGATGATAACATAGTCTGTGCGCATTCAGAAGACCTACATCTGTTACAGAACCCCAGTATGCTCATGATAATGTAGTCTGTGCACATTCAGAAGACCTACAACATCTGTTACAGAACCCCGGTATGCTGATGATAACGTAGTCTGTGCGCATTCAGAAGGGGACAATTCCCGAAGGGGACTCAGAGCAGCTTACAAGATCAACATACATACATAAAATATATTATGTTATTAGAATAGTACAATATCAGTATTATATATTACTATATTGTACTATACCACTATATTGCAACATTATTAGTAATATTACAACTATAGAAATAAACATGTAATGTTCGTTTGTGGGATTAACATAACTCAAAAACCACTGGACAAATTGCCGCCAAATTTGGACACTAGACATTTACTAACCCAAGGAGTGACCATCACTGAAAAAATTGTTTTTGTTTGGGAGTTGTAGTTGCTGGGATTTATAGTTCAGCTACAATCCAAGAGCATTCTGAACTCCACCAATAATGGAATTAAACCAAGCTTGGGACACAGGACTCCCATGACCAACAGAAAACACTAGAAGGGTTTAGTGGGCATTGACCTTGAGTTTGGGAGTTGTAGTTCACCTACATCCAGAGAGCACTGTGGACTCAAACATTGATGGATCTGGACCAAACTTGGCACGGATACTCCATATGCCCAAATATGAACACATGTAGTTTGGGGGAAATAGACCTTTACATTTGGGAGTTGTAGTCACTGGGATTTATAGTTCACCTACAATCAAAGAGCATTCTGAATCCCACCAACGACAGCATTGGGGAAATTCCCACACAGAACCCCCATGAGCAACAGAAAATACTTAAGGCCATCCAGTCCAACTCCCTTCACCAGGACAAAAAAACTTAATCAAAGCCCTCCTGACAGAGAGCCATCCAGCCATAGGTATAGATAGATGATATATATGATTCACACACATACAACTTGGCAAACATAACCCCCAGGACCCCCTTTACGTCCTGGTGCGGTATGGGGGAGGTGGACCAAAGATTATGGGATTTGTAGTACTTTCAAACGGTTTGGTTCCCACGGACCACTATGGCCCCCAACAAAGAGTGATAAAGACCAAACTTGGGACACAGAGCCCCCATGACCCACTCTACATCCTGATGCAGTTCTAAGGGGGATAGACCATGGATGATGGTATTTGTAGTGCGTTTATTCACTGAAATCACTGCGACCCTCATCCAATGACCGATCAAGACCAAACTTGGCACACAGAGCCCCCATGACCCACTTTACATCCTGATGCAGTTCTAATGGGGATAGACTATGGATGATGGGATTTGCAGTACTTTTACTCACTGAAATTGTCAGAATAATTGCTAGTATTATATGTATGTTTTTCAGTGTGTTAATAATGTGTATTCATATGTATTCCAAGATGGATTTAGTTATGTTCAGTTTTTTTCATTTGTGCAGTAGATAGTTATTATTATAGAGTTGGAATAGGCCATAAAGTAGAGTCCTTGAGACTGAGATAACAGGAATTCCTTTGCCCTGAGAAGAATAAGGAGTGTACCAGCTAGAAGACAGATAAGGCAGGAGGGCGGATTTTCTTTGACTGTGTGTTTTATGCTGTACTCTGTCTGTCGCCATTTTTCATCATCAAGATGTAGTTGCATATAGAAATGCTTTCAGTAAAGTTTGTTGTTTTTGAAACTGAAGAAGACTGCAGTGTGGTAATTGAGCCTGTGTGATCTGGAAACCTCAAGTACGCTGTGCCAGACCGGAGGGTCTCACTCTGACAGAAACCACTGCGACCCTCATCCAATGACCGATCAAGACCAAACTTGGCACACAGAGCCCCCATGACCCTATCTACATCCTGTTTCATTTTGGAGGAGGGTGGATCATGGATGATGGGACTTGCAGTACCTTCACTCACTTACTGGAACCACAGCGACCCTAATCCAATGACTGATCAAGACCAAACTTAGCACACAGAGCCCCCATGACCCACTCTATATGGATGATGGGACTTGCAGTACCTTCACTCACTTACTGAAACTACTGCGACCCTAATCCAATGACTGATCAAGGCCAAACTTAGCACATAGAGCCCCCATGACCCACTCTACATCCTGCTGCAGTTTGAAGGAGGATGGACTATGGATGATGGGGCTTTGCAGTACCTTCACTCACTTACTGAAACCACTGCGACCCTAATCCAATGACTGATCAAGACCAAACTTAGCACACAGAGCCCCCATGATCCACTCTACATCCTGCTGCAGTTTGAAGGAGGATGGACTATGGATGATGGGACTTTGCAGTACCTTCACTCACTTACTGAAACCACTGCGACCCTCATCCAATGACTGATCAAGACCAAACTTGGCACACAGAGGCCCCATGACCCACTCTACATCCTGCTGCAGTTTGGAGGAGTGGACCATGGATGATGGGACTTGCAGTACCTTCAATCACTTCCTGAGAGGCTCGGCCTCATGTAAGCCGCATCGAGTCCCTTGGGGAGATGGTAGCATGGTATAAAGTTTTATTATTATTATTATTATTATTATTATTATTATTATTATTATTATTATTATTAGGAGATACATTCGGACAGGTACGCTGGGCCGGAGCCATATAGGGTTTTATAGGTCAAGACCAGCTAACAGTGGAAGCTCACCCTGCTCCCAGATTCAAACCGCCGACCTTTCAGTCAGCAAGTTCAGCAGCTCAGCGGTTTAACCTGCTGTGCCACCGAGGGCTCCACCATGTTGCCCTACCATTGCACATATTGGGAACTTGAGCATTCTATGGATTTTGTGGTTCCCAGACCAAAACGACTCAATAAGACGCTGAAATCTTGGTCCAGACAAGAACAGACACACAGGTACACAAGATTAAATTTTAATTAACGACGAGAACAAAAATAATTGTGACATGTACATTTGTAGTACTTTCAAACGGTTTGGTTCCCTCTTCCACTACAGCGGGTAGCCGTTTACATCGTGTTCCAACGGGAAGGTGAAGCCAGGTGAGACTGGACCCAAAAACATCTCGCTGCGAAAAGGTGACACAAGAAGAGGGTAAGACCAAAATATTAAGGTACAAACAGCGTTTTTCAATATCTTTATTATCTCCAATATATTTTCCCTCCCTGTTATGGAAGGAGAACCTTAGAAAGAACAAGAGAAAAATATCGGATGTGTTTTCAAAAAACTCTCCTATGGTTTTGTTATGGGATGGAACGCCCCTCCTGGAAACGCGTTAAAATTATACAGTGAGGTCCCCATATCTGTATCTATGGAGCTGAAACAATTCACATGACGAAACACCCTGACTTCCAATAGGGATTGGAAGAGGCTGGATAACAATCTGTTGGGGGGTGATCTGAATCTGTTTGTCTTTATTGGTTGGACTGGATGACACCGCCTGAGCTCTGCAAGTGCAGCATTTTCCTGAATGAAGCAGAGAGTGTTTGAGGACCAGGACATCCGTAGGGAGACCAAGGTGCTTGTTTATAAAGCTATTGTCCTCCCAACCCTGCTATATGCCTGCGAAGCGTGGACTGTC